CTTCTGAAGCGCGCGGCGGCGGGGGGAGACGGGGTGACACAGTAGGGTGCGTGCGATCGGCGGCGGCATGGAGGCAGAGGTGAGGGCAGCGCGTGCCGGTAGCGGCATGGAAGCGGATGTGAGGGTTGTGTGGCAAGCACACAGAGGACACGGCGACAGTCGGAGTGCTGCTAAATCTATCGTCTATCTTTCTTCCCTTTGGTGCGCAGTGAGATTGGGGAGGGCGCGTTGCGACGGGGCCAGAGGGGTAGCGCCGTCAGCGAGGGCGTCGGGAAGGAGAGGAGATTGGAGCGGAGGCGGCGGTGACAGCGATGGAGCGGGTGGCGGAGGAGCAACCGGGCGCGGGGATGTAACACCCTGAAAATTCGACGACAAAAATCTAAACTCTAAAAATACGGATTTTCAAAAACTTTTTAAATTAATTGCATCATGCCGATCTTATTCGCCTATTTTATTTGAATTTGATCTCGAAGTTTATTAATCGTGAGTAAAGATTAGTTGTGGATAGGAATAAATAAAGTATTATCGCGACCATATTTGGATCAATTAAATTTAAATATGATGGAATAAGAATTAACCCTAATTAAAAATTCAAATAAATTATATAAAAATAAAATATGAGTAATATTAATCTAGGGTGAATTCATTAGTTGAGATAACACAAATATTGAGTAAAATGCATATATCCAAAAATTAGGAATTGTGGAATCAAATTTATATGGGAAATACACTAAAATCGGGATAAATAGGAAAAGCCACTATTCATTGCCCCCTAGGTGTTCGGTCGCGTTCCCTAGCCCTAGCCCCTCCTCTGCCGCGTTGCCCTCGCGCCCCGCACGCCGCGCGCCGCTCCGCCTCCCCTCTGCCGTCGCCGTCGCCATCACCGCGCGTGCCGCCGTCGCCTCGCCGCCCGCCCGTCGCCATCGCCGCCTGCCGCCGCGCTGACGTCACCGAGCCGCCCCGAGCCCGCGCCGACATCGCCACCCCCGTGCCGCGCGTGCTGCCGTCCCGTTGCCGCGTTGCCTCGAGCCCCGCGCCGCCGTCCCTTCGCCGCGTCGCCGCCCGTCACCGTCAAGCCCGCGCCGCGCCGTCCTATCGTTGCTGTCACGCCGTGCCGTCGTGTCGCCGCCCATCGCATCCCGCCCCGAGCCGCGCGCCACCGCTGTCGCCGTCGCCATCGACGTCCCGTCGCCGCGCGCGTCCCATCGCCGCTGCCGCGCCGCGCGCCGTCTCGTCGCCTCGCGCCGCGAGCCCGCCGCCTCGCGCCCCGCGCCGCCGCGCCGCCGTCGTTTCACCCCTCCCCCTCCTTCCCCTCTCTTTCTTCCCCTCTCCCCTATAAAGACCCCGGCCCAATCCCCCCCTTCTCCACCCCACTCCATTCCCTCCTCTTCTCCCTCTTCCCCTTCTCCACGCGCCGCCGTCGTCGCGCCGCCGCGCCGCCGTTGTCGTGCCGCCGCGCCGCCACCTTCGAAGCCGCCGCGCCGTCGCCCCGGAGCCGCCGCGCCGTGCGTCGTCGCCTTGCGCTGCCGTCGCCGTCGTCGCCGCCACCGCCGCCGCCGGTGAGCCGTCTTCCCCCCCTCACCTCGCGCCCACCGCCGTCGCCGCCCGGGGAAGCAAAGAGCCGAGAGAGAGAGAGATATAGAAAGAAGCCGGGAGGGAGCAGAGAAAAAGAAAAGAGAGGAAAGGAGGAAGGAGCCGGGAGGAGAGAAAGAAAAGAAAAGAGAAAAGAGAGAAAAAGAAAGAGAGGAGAGAAAAAGAGGGAAAATAGAAAAGAAGAAAAGGAGAAAATAGAAGGGAAATTTGGGGAGAAATTAGGAGGATTTAGGAAATAAAAATGGTCGGGGTTAATCGTAGATTATTTTTGGAAATTCCTCGAGCGTAATAGTATTTCGGTCGAAATTCCGAGTTAATTATAAAAATATGTTTCTTGATCAGATTAGATTAAAATTAGTAGTAATTTAGATATAATTAATAACTAAACAATTAGATGAATTCTTATAGATTATTATAGATTATTTTTGGTAATCTCTAAAAGTCATCGGTTCACGGTAGAAATTCGGATTTAATTACTAGGGATTTTAGCCGTGTATTATATTTAATCATTTAGTCATAGACTAAATTAAATCATATAATATTTCTAGGATTTCGTCCGATATTTAGCTCGCGATAGAAATCTCTAACCTATTATATGGATATAATGCTCGGGTAGATTAAATTAAAAACTTATGACAACAAAATATTTATACCCGCAAAATAGTTTAAGTCGAAATTGGGTTTGCCGTAGTTCGCAGATAGTAAAGTTTATAAAAAGGAATCGACTTTCACATTCGACTTTCATTTGGATTTATTTGGATTTTTATTTGAATTCTAACCGAATTCAAATCAATTTTTGCACGTAACTATAGAGCCCGAGGGAGTTGCGGATCCAAGCGAAGGCAAGACCCGCAAGACTCTGAGCAAGGCAAGTCATCACTATTCCTTGAACATGTTGATCCCAATTGCGAAATTGTTTTGTTTACAAATAAAATTGCATGCAATGATGAACATCCTACTTGTGATTATGCCATGCCTTGATTATTGTTTACCCTTAAATCTTTGTAACCATGTTTACGTATGAGTCCCTAGTCAACTATGACAATTGCTTAGAAATGCTATTCTAGAATCATGCATACTCATATTTATCAAATGCTATATGCTTGGGCAATTACCTTTGGGAAGGTAATTGAGATGCGGCATGTGGAGACATGAGCGCCACATTGCCATGATGTTGATGACATGATTTGTGAAAGGAGAAATAAAATTAAATAACTGTTTTCGACTGGGGCGGACGGAGGATTTGGGTGGTATCTGGAAAAGGCTAGTACCGTCCCCGGTCAATTAAGGACCGAGCCATGAAGTTAAGCATGAAACAACCCCCGTACAACCGCACTTCTCGTATGGGTATAGACCTAGCGGATTAGATAGCCGAGCGGAGGCAGTATCCCTGCATAGATGGTTCACCCCTGAGTGAGGCAGGTGCGCTACGATGGGACAGCCGTTGAGGTAGGGCCGAGAAGCGTGCCCTACATCGGTGTCGCCATTGGTAGGACTGCCATGAGTGTGTGAGAGAGAGAACTTAACTTGAACCATAATTTAATATGCGTGTGAGACTTCTCTTTCCCGGGAGCGCCAGAACTCCTCTCACTGCTAGAAACATGGACGCCTAGAGTGCATGAGGATTTAAGTTCATGGAGCGGGTACTGCCAATGCGAGGTTATCGAAAAGCTTTGCCGTGACGCGTCTCATGTGTTGGGACGAGGCTCATGTGTTGGGCAGTCGCGGAGTGCGGGTAAAGTGTACATCCACTGCAGTGTGAGTAAACCAAATCTATTCGAATAGCCGTGCTCGCGGTTATTGAGCACCGGGACATGTATTACACTTGGCTAGACTCTAAATTCTTTAACTTGTGTGGGATGGGATATTGCATGATGATTTTTATGCTGATGGAGCCACTTCCTGAGAGGCGGGAACGTGGACGTCCTCAGAAAACCATAACGACTCAATGGCGGGAAGCTATCCTTGGGATCACAATGGATGGTGGACAGAACCGTCATTGTTTAATATGAACACTGGTATTAAAACTTGATCAGTCTATGCTAGGTCTTAGGCTTGTGAAAAGAATTACAAAACTTGCTTTGCGCAAAAGAACCATAGCCATCCTTTGAATTCCTCTGTCATGTGCATCATTGCTGTGGTGGCTTGCTGAGTACGGTTGGTACTCACCCTTGCAAATATAAAATTAATCAGAAGCGGGAGATGAAGCCTCGGAGGATCCCTATGCCTACTACCAGGAGGGAGATGAAGACGATGGCGCTCAGTAGGTCTTAGTACGGTCGTTGCCTGTGGCAATGGCATGCCGCTGCCTGAATTCCGCTGCCTTATCTATTTCTGCTTTTGGATGTATTCCGGACCGCTCGGTCCGATGATTTAAGACTACGCCTGCGGGGTTATGATGTAATAATTCGTATTAGACACTCGTGTATGTGCACTTGGTATTTCAGCTATGAATTCGTGTGTACCAGACTACTTGATCTAGGGAAATTGTACTGTTTACACAATTGATTCCTGTTATAAAAACGGGGGTCCACAGGGGACGACGGGGATGGGCGACAAACTTGTTACCGTAGCCTGCCGCCTCCAATGTCCTCGGTGCCGCCCGTCTCACCCTCTTCACCGCGCGCGCCTCGCCTTCCCCGTGGAGGACTCGTCGACCACCGCCTGCCTGAGCTGAGAAGAGATAGAGAGAGAGGGGGGGGGGGAAGAGGGAGGCCTCACTGCCGTCTCCAGGGAAGGGAGCATCAGCGGCGCCGACTAGTGACGTCGACAATGAACCACTCGTCTCCTCTTGTGCTTGTTGCTCCGAGTCCTCGTCTTTGCATGGATACAGGAAAGAGGAGTCGGGAGAGAGAGAGAAAGAGGGAGGCGACGCGTGCCGACGGCGCTCACCCGTGACCCCGAGATACCTCAGCCTTTCCGCTAACCACGCCGCCCTCACCTCCGTGGTCACTGGCCTCTACAGCCACCCCGCCGCATCACCCCTCTCCCCCACCCCCGCCATGGCTACCTTCTCGTGTAAGTCTGGCGTCATCCGCCGCTCCCCCGACCACAGGAGGACAAGGCATATGGTGAGCTCGACATGCCAGCCATAGCCCGCGCGCGTGCCGCTCGTTCTTAGCGGCGAGCGAGCAACGGGCGAGAGAGATAGAGGTGAGAGGGGATAGAGAGGAGAGCGACTATGACAGGTAGGCCCAACATTTTTTAAAATAAAAAAATACTAACTGGATTGCCACGTAGGGCCAAAACCACTCCGATGTTGAGTTAGGGGGTGTTTTTTCCTGTATTGAAAGTTTAGGGTGAGCGATATCTGCTTTTCAAGTTAAAGGGGTAATTCGGTTCACTGCGATAGTTCAACCAGTAATTCATACTTTTTCCAAAAGAAAAAAAAAACAAACAACTTTCAGGCGTTTCCCTTCCTTCCTGACGAGTTTTTGGTGTTCGTCTTCCCTCCCGCGCCCGCGCCTTCTCGCTCGCGCGCCCGCGGGGACGCGGCGGCTAGGGCGATGCAGCTGGTGGACGACGCCGACGGGGCCCTCGACTCGTGGGCCCGCTTCTGCGACCTCTCCGACGAGCTCTTCGGCGGCGCCGGCGACCTCTCGGCGGGCCCGCGCCTGGCCCCCGTCGTCGCGGACCTCTGCGCCCGCGGCCTCGCCGAGCTGCTTCGGGACCAATTCATCCGCTCCCTAGAGGTGACGCAACCCCCACGCTTCTCTACCCACACTCACCTGCTGCGTGTTGCTCCCGCCGCGCGGAGTATTGGGGGGCTTTCTGCATTGCACGGTTTTGGGGACTCGGATCGCGCTGCGCGCTGAGTGTTTGTGAGAATGCCTGCCCCGAATTTGAGACGGTGTAGCAGTAGCAGAGGGGGTATGGACTTGGGCTCAAAGACCCTTTCGTGTGTGCTTGGCCATAGACAGTCAAGGTTGAACTAGGCCACACTATGGAAACATGGGGTAGACGGGTAGTAGGACTAGTTTGCTTTCGCTGAAACAATTGTCAGGACATCACTTCTTTCATCCCTTCAGGTTTGTGGTGAACCCTTTTATTTATCTGTGACGTAGTTAAAAAGGAGGGAAGAGATGGCCACAATGCACAGGGTGGCTGTTTCCTGTTTGTCAGACAGGCAGAGCCCCCTGCAATTTAGGGGAGAGTATCTATGTGCTAGAGTGTCTACAATACTTGTTTTAGTTTTATTTGAGCATTGAAAATTGACAGAATGCCTCAGGTTTTCAGGTTGGTTTGAAATTGTAATGGCTTAGGATTTGCACTTAACTTTTTTCACTCCTTACATTTTAGTTGAATTAGCTCTTATGCAAACATATAAGAGGATCCTAGTCTAAAAGATGCCATATTATCTGTTGCAAGTCTGCTGGCTGTTTAAAATTCTATACCCTTGCTCGTATTTATGGAATGCTATGCAAAGCTTTTTATTCTTACTCTTTCTCTATTCAACCTGTCCTTATTAATGCAGGGAATATTTAGAAGCAACGCGGTTAAGAAGTTCTGGCAGCAGTTTCATCCTTATTGCAATTCCTCTGCAGTGGAAAGAATTAAATTCTGTGTGAGTTACAGAATAGTTAATTATTTGTTCATCCATACGTTTGTTTCAGGGTAGAAAATTTATGTTGCAGAAATGACATCTTGCCTGCTTCATATTCTGATTGTCTTTCTTGCATACCCAGGATGTGATATCTTTCATATGTTGTATCAAGAAATGAAATGGCATTCTTTGTATTGAAAGATGAAACCATAAAACCATCCCAGCCATGCAAATATTTTAAAGATACTTTCACCAGTTTGTCAATACTGCTGTATCATAATTTGAAACTAGTGAATAAAGTGTATATTAGTAATCATCTTACCTAATTTCGGTCTTTTAACATTTTACAACAGCATAATTTCTCTAACCATGAATTTCAGGTTCAAGAAAACTGGCCTGAGGATATCTTAAGTAAAGCATTGGAAGACATATGTTTGGAAAAGAATTACCAGGAAAAGTGTGTTCTGGCTCTAGTTCATTCTTTACAATCTTATGAGGATAGGTCACCACACAGAAAATCTAAAGCACTGGATTGTAGTTCCAGCTTAATGCCTAGGTACCAGTTAATGGTATCTTCAGTACTTCTGACAACACTACCATTGAGTTTTCCTGGTTAGTATCTTTTTCACCACTGTTTTACTGTATGAAAAGGCTTGAGTTTGACACTGAGCCAATTCTGAAATGTTTACCATGACTTCCATTTCTGAACCTTGCGGAGTGGTTTGTGTTTCTCTAGATTATTCTTTAGAATCATGAAGGATAGGGTGCATGGCAACACAAACAATGTTATATTTTCAGTTTGTTTTCTAGGCATCAGTTTTCTAGGCCTCACAATGATCTTTAGACCAGTTATGACTAAACTGGAGTGTTGTGTTATCTCCTATGCGTTAATTCTTCCAAGACTCATGTGGCCTTTTCATAAAGAGGGAAAGATTTATTACTAGTATTAAATCTTATAGAGCCGCAGATTGATGCAAATTACCCAACTGCCTTTACTTTTTTGGCACTTTTGGATGGGATATTTATGGTTTCCAAACTTTGTTCTCTGTATCTTTGCTCCTTTGGTCCTGCCATCTGGGGGCCATATGAATAATCACTCATTGTTAGGACAATAAGTTAGAATATGGATGAAACTGCAAATTGGATCTTGTATTGGCAATTTGGATTGATTTTATTAGCCTCTGCAGAAAAGGTCATAACCATTGGAAAGCATTCAACAATCCAAAATTTTTTCTATTCATGTAGCATGCATACCCATCTTCCACATTATAGTTGGGTTGCGGCCGTCCTTTTTTTTGTTTTTTGTTTAAGGTTACTTTACAGGGTTTCTTGGATTGATGGAATCATGGACAGATCTCCTATTCTCCTCCCTCTGATAAAATCAGTTACAATATCCTCTTTTAGCTGCCAGAGCACAGCATGCTTGTTGCACACCCACTGACACAGTTAGTTCAGGAATATTGCACATGAAACATTCTACAGTTACTAATTAATCCAAATAGAAGCTATTGTTTTTAACAAATACATTTTCCTGAAATTATAATATTGGTGACTTGTTTTTTTTTCTACTTGATCTGTAGAGATATTAAATGTATACTTCAAGAAGAAACTGGAAGAGTTAAATATCATGATGGCTGGATTGGATGGGAGCGATCCATTTGATAATCATGATCTTTTTGAAAGGAACAGTACCTCTGCTTGGCATTCTGAAATGGACATTGATGGTCAAGAACCTGGGATTTCTGAAAGTAGAAATTTGGTTAAGAACATTGGAAAAGTTGTTCGTGATCTAAGATATCTTGGTTTTACATCAATGACTGAGGACTCATACTCTTCTGCAATAATCTGGCTTTTAAAGGTCCAGGCTCACTTCTTTACCTTAAGTACCTAGTGTATACCACATATATTATTTTGGCATGGACAATCTTGAATTTCTGCCTGTATCCTTATCTGAACTCTCAATTCTCATATTGCAGTCTAAAGTTCATGAACTAGCTGGTGATGATTATAGAATTCCTGTACTTGGGTGTGTCAAAAAGTGGATTCAGGTAACCTTTCTTATCCTCATTCAGTCATTTATTCAGAAACATCTCCCTGTCCGTCAAATTTGTTCTGTGTTTCTAGCTTCATATTATACCCGCTTAAGTAGTTGGGTCTTGTAAGGATAAATTATTCTCTGCAGGTTTAGCCTTTTTTCCCTCGCACATATTTGAATTGAAATAAGACTTAGTGTTAATGTAATAGAGCTGTCACATCAGTGCATCTATCATGAGCTAGTGCGCCTTAAGAATATTAATTTTTGTCTCATTGTTCTTTCAATTACTTAATACCTCTTTTGAATCAGTTCTGTAAGTCCATTGTATTTAGTGTAACATGATATCTACTATGCCCTTAATTCCATCTGTAAATGCTGCTCAGCATAATTTGCTGACAATAATTTCTGGGTCTTGCCAGGCCGTTCCTCTTAAATTTTTGCATGCTCAATTGACATATCTGGGGGACTCTCTTGACAATGAAAGTGGATCATCTGGTCTCAAATCACCTTTGGCCTCACGCCCTTCTTCCTTCCCTGGGATTGGCGTTCCTTCAGAAGCCCTTGTGAGATGGCACATGCGCCTTGAGTATTTTGCTTATGAGACCTTGCAGGACCTGCGAATTGGCAAACTTTTTGAAATCATAGTTGATTACCCTGAGAGGTTAGTCATTGTCCACTACATGATGCTGTTGGGCATTGAATATCCAAATATCTTTTCCAACCTTTGATATGCCTGTATTTTCTTTGCACTGTAAGGTGTAGAAGTGTATGCAGATTACTTGTTTTATTGGTAATGTTTATGGTGTCCTGTGTCTTGCTGGCAATCCTCATTTACCTGAAGGAGGTCTATATAGCATGATATAATTTATTTAGTTATTGCTTTTTTTCGTCATCTCTTTTTGTGACCAGTGAATAATTTGTTGCTCTTGAACCAAACATCTGCATTTCTTTTCATGTGCCACACCATGTCTTTTCCATGTTAAGGTCTAACCAAATATGTTCACACTTCACACGGCCATCTCAAACAGAAGAGTTTGCTTATGATATTTCTTTTATGTTGCATTAATTTAGTTTTATTCTTTATGATGTATGTGTTCTTAACTGGAGCACAGTTTTTAATCTGGAAATTTTTGGGTATTGATGAAGCTCTCCTGCCATTGAAGACCTAAAACAGTGTTTGGAGTACACGGGTCAACATTCTAAACTTGTTGACTCATTTATCTCATCATTGAGATATCGCTTGCTGACGGCTGGTGCATCAACCAATGATATATTACACCAGTACGTGTCCACTATCAAGGCATTACGTACAATTGATCCCACTGGTGTCTTCTTGGAAGCAGTAGGTGAACCAATTAGAGATTACCTGAGAGGTAGAAAGGACACTATCAAATGCATAGTAACAATGCTCACTGATGGATCTGGAGGAAACGCGAACGGAACTGGAAATGCTGGGGACAATCTTCTGGAAGAATTGAATAGAGATGCTGAAAACCAGGAAAATGTTGATTATGATGACCATACGAACATTGATGAGAAGCAAGCATGGCTAAATGCTGAAAGGTATATTTGCTCTCTGTTTCTTGAACTATTAAGAAATAATTGCTCCTTTAATAAGTACATCAATAAAACTGCTGTCATTGTGATTCCAACTTTTACAGCTGGGAACCTGATCCTGTGGAAGCAGACCCATTAAAGGGCAGCAGGAATAGAAGGAAAATTGATATTCTTGGACTTATTGTCAGTATAATTGGGTCAAAGGACCAGCTAGTCAATGAATATCGTGTAATGCTGGCAGAAAAACTGCTCAATAAATCTGATTTTGATATTGATTCAGATATCCGCACGCTGGAACTGCTTAAGGTTGGACTGTTACTTTTGTGATTGTCTTCTTAGCTATGCCTTTTCTATGTATTTGATTGAATTGCATATGATGCTATTCCTTAGTTGTTATCTCTATTTTTTTTAATGATGCTGTTGTTTTGGCAGATTCATTTTGGGGAGAGCAGCATGCAGAAGTGTGAGATTATGCTTAATGACTTGATTGACTCAAAGAGAACCAACTCAAATATTAAAACATCTTTATCAAAGACATCTCAAACTGGTACTGCTTAAACTGCGAGTGCTTGTACCAAACAGATCAAATGTTACAGCGTTTGCATTTAAACTCTCTTCTTTTTTGTCAGTAGGAACTGTGCAAGAGGAGACAGAATTGTCTCATGAGGTTCTTGACGCAACTATAATATCCTCCAATTTCTGGCCACCAATTCAGGTATGGTACAAAGCTTTTATCGAAACCATCATGGTAACTGTTGAGCTAAATTAGTGTCATCTGTCATGTCTTCCCTTTTCTTATTTTCTGCTGGGGCGTGGGGAGACCTATGACTAAAATAGTCTTCAGTTCTCATACTAATATTTCATATGGTAAGGAGATGTTGATTCACAGCTATTGTAAATTGGAAATCTCTAATCATGTTGAACTTGTTGCTCAACCAAGAATCATGCGGTCAATTACTGATGTTCGATCTTTACTGTTTATTTCACTTGACCTTAGTACGACAATCTGTCTAGATTCACTAAACCTCTCAAAACAAATGTAGACAGAAGACCTCACAGTTCCTGCTTCAGTTGATCAGTTGCTGTCTGATTATGCAAAAAGGTTTCATCAGATAAAAACACCACGCAAGCTACTCTGGAAGAAAAATCTTGGAACTGTCAAGGTTGGTATGAAACTTTAAACTGAATGTGTAGCTACAAGGAATCATTCCTTTTTAAGAATTTCTTTTATTTTCCCAGCTGGAACTGCAATTCGAGGATAGGAGTATGCAGTTTACTGTAGCTCCTGTCCATGCTGCAATCATAATGCAATTTCAAGAGAAACCAAGGTAATAAAACTACCATGCTGCACATGGCTCTTATTTACTCTTAATTGAGGTCATCAATTTTTTTTCAGTTGGACTTCAAAGACCCTAGCTACAGCAATCGGAGTACCTGTGGACTCTCTTAACAGAAAGATAAGTTTCTGGACAAGCAAGGTGTGGCAAATACATAATACTCGTACTTAGCATGCTGCATTTTTGTTAGTACCTTATGAATTCTTTAGTATCCGACCAAATCACTGTAGCACATTCATGCTTGGTGCTCCTAACAATTATGATGGACCATCAATCGTTTTTATTGTGATTTTTTCAGTGTGAATTCTTTAGACTTATGATCAGATGGGCTAGACAGTTAACACTTCATATCATCTATATTTGAGTTTGCATGAAACATATAAGTTGTGGTTAATATAATTGGTAAACAGAAATGGATGTAGGATATCTTTAAACATGATTTAGGCTCCATGACATCTGTAAGGCGTTCCTGAAGAGAACCTCTCAAATTTAGTATGATTAAACCAACTTATGATTTAAACCTAATTTCATGCTATATCGTAGGGCGTCCTGACAGAATCAGTTGGTCCAGATGCGGATGACCCCACATTTACTGTTGTTGATAGCACATCTGATTTTAACAAAAACAGCACCGTGAACCAACTCTCTGAAAGGTTTCAAATTACTGAAGAGGAAGGTGAAAGTTCGATTGCGTCTGTTGAGGAACAACTTAGGAAAGAGATGACAGTTTATGAGGTTTGTTTCTTGAGATCTCAAGAATGTGTTGAAAAGAAGATGCCTTCGTTAGTTATGTCATTTATCAGTTCTCCCTACACCAACCAAGTAATCATTCATTTGACTCCATTCGCTGTACTGCAGAAATTCATCATCGGGATGCTAACCAATTTTGGAAGCATGACACTGGACCGGATACACAACACTCTCAAGGCAAGATAAATGGGACACTGTCCATTCATCCTCTCTCTATATTAATCTTTTAACCCATTCGTTAATTTCATCCAAAATTGCTTGTTTCAGATGTTCTGCATAGCCGAGCCATCATATGATAAATCACTGCAGCAATTGCAGAGTTTTCTTTCTGGTCTAGTGTCAGACGAAAAGCTGGAGATGAGGGATGGATCATACTTGCTAAGGAAGTAGGAGTTACATGGATTAGCCTGTTCATCTGTTAGACTAGATATGGAAGGTAATCAACTAGTCACACCATCATCATCTGATGGTTACACTATGACCATCCGGTTCCTAAAATGTACTCCATTTTACTCTTCTTGTTGCAGGAACTGAAGAATGGAGGCCCCATCCTGCGCCATTCACCTCACTGCGTGCAGTAATATTCTGCACTCGCTGTTTTGTTCCTTGCTGAGGGGATGACGAAAGTAGAGAAGCACAGGAATCCTAAAGCTTTTGAATGTTGTTATTGTGCGTATATTGCACTGTTGACGCTTGACGACGCTCTCAACGCGTTCGGTTGTTTTCCGACGTGGATAAATGCATATCTTTTCGGTCTGTAAATGACAGAAAGAAATTCAACCAGACTTCTTGGCATTAAATGGCAGGGGCAATGGCCGGAATGCCTTTTGGCTACTGGCACCCTTCGGTGTCAGCTTACTTATCACTCGTGGCCGTGGGTTCGTCAACACGTGCGTGCATTATTCAAGTGTGGCCGTGCTTACACTTGACAAGTTGACATGTTAAAAACAGTCATCTCTGAAAAAAAATTATGATGTTCAATGATCTAATGTGATGTTGCAGTGAAAACTGAACATGAATTTGGCATGTCCGGCGAGGAGTTTGGATGAGATGGCTATTCTATTTCTCTATTATAAATGCAGCTTCAAAACATGTAGTGAGATGTATGTAATCAAATGTTATGTTTACTCATTTTTTGAAAGGAGGTGTGTTTACTCATTCATATAAAAAAAAAGTTACACTGGTGTACAAAACCCATACTACAGTGACAATGCTGCTGGAGTACAAGCATCCATAAATAGAAGTTATTAGACCAGACATTTGACCATGTAAGGCCCCTCAAGTTCATAACCCAGTTTACGGTAGTAGTGGCGAGTCCCAACTCCTGATATAACAGCGATTTTCTTTGAACGATGCTCCTTGCGAGCAATTCTTTCTGCTTCTTCCATCAAAAGAGTACCATAACCCTGTCGATGTTGAGTCAAAAAAAAATCAGAAATGTAATTTATATTTCTGGACAATCAAGTTAGGAAGTATATCTATAGGCATGTACCAATTGCAAGTCAAAACAGGAGAAATAATCACCATTTATAGAGCAACACTACATTTCCTCTAATGATAAGAAATTGGATAATATGTGACAATATACCATACCAGAATGCCATACTATTGAGAAGTTTAGACACTAAGCTTGATTTAAAACAGTGACTACAATTTATCAAGCGTGCCAGGATATCTAATTTGCAAGCATAGCAAAGTCGTTGGTGCTAACTGCTACTAATACTGTCATGGCACCGATCCATTTCCCAAACATGGTATGCTAATAATATCACATGTACTATGGTCACCTGGTGTTGTAGTTTGTCTGCATCACGACCATGTACAGGGACTGCAGTTCCATATACATGAAGTTCACGGACAATTGAACACCTCCCTACTAGCTCAGGGCATGTAACATTGCGGCCACATTTTCGCAATCGCAGCAGACCAATAAGGATATCCTGTATAATTTGTAAGATGGCAAAATGTGAGTGCTCCAAAAGATTGAGAGAACATAAGGCCAAGCGTTGAACTCTGCAGAATAGTATCGATCTAATAATTTTAAAAATAACAAATAAATACTTCAATGGACTGCTGAAAGTCTGAAACACATAACAGTAAAAATTCCCGGACCAAGAAGATAGGTGTTGGTCATATAATTTCAAACAGGCCTGCTCAGACATTCTGCATATTTTCAAGTTCCCCAAAATCACATGAAATGCTGGCAAAATATATGTACCTGCTGTGTATCCTCGTATGAGAGAAAGGTCTCCCAGCCCTCATTTGCAGCATAGTCACGCCTAACAAGCTCTACTTCGTCAGGTCTAATTTTGTGATGGATATCCTACATAAAGACAAACAACGAAAATAATAAGGACAAAGAGCTAAGTTAAATTACAAGCATGTGAGAGTGAGAGGAGATGCAGTGTTCCAGACCTGAATTCCCGCCTCACGAGTTCTAACATCTCGGCACTTCAAGCCTAAATCTTCCATTCGAGCCAAAGCAAGCTCACGAAGATTACCTTTTTCAACACCAGAAGTAACAAGAGGCATAGGGATATCTCTTTGTACACGGTAAACTCGTGTCCAAGGTGGTACCATGGATAGAATTCTTGCAACAATATCCACCAGAAGTTCAGGTGGATAGTTTCGGTATCTGAAACACAACAAACATTGGCAGGGCCTAAGTTCTCACTAAAAAGTTCTAGAGAACAAACACAACAGTGAACACAAGACTAGCAATCTAGAATATCAAGTGCTAGATAAAATAAGTACCTGCCAGTTTTCCAGAGCTCATAAAGGCCAGTTCCACGAATCACAAGAGTTGGATAAATCTTTAGACCATCAGCTCGGAATGCTGGATTTTCAAAAAATTCTCGGAAACTTTCCAGATCTCTTTCAACTCCAACATTAGGTAAATCTGGCATCATGTGGGCGACCACCTATCAAAAGGTAATCAATGGAGGATTAAAACAGTTCAACCATATGAGATGATACTTTATTTTAACAAATGCTGCCAGCAACAAGTTGACTAAACGAGATGATTAATGATTTAAGGAGACTACCTTAAAACCAGCATCTTTAGCCAAACAAAAGCAATCAGCAACAGCAGCTACAGTGTGACCTCTGTTTGTGTCACGTGCAACATCCTCGTATGTGCTCTGAACACCAATTTCTAAGCGGGTACAACCATAAGATAGCATCTGGCGCAAATGAGGCCCCAAGCAATAATCAGGTCTCCTGTAATTTTGAGGAAAGACAACAATAGTTTATAGAACTGAAGTTAATAAAGATGTTTCATGGGGAAATCATACAGAACCATCAAGGAACCTAAGCATATGGGTAGTTTAGATTGTCAAATGATCTTACGTCTCAATTGTCATGCCAATACATTTGACTGCACCATGTTCTGAATAACAAACAGCCTCTTCAACATTAGCAGAAGTGTGTCCCGATAAGGCATCATGAAGATTTCTAATGAAATAATCCCGATAATCAGCTGGTAATGACATGAAAGTTCCACCCATCAATATGAATTCGACCTGCATAATGTATTCAAATTATTTTAAACTTATGATAGCATTAATCAAATGTAACTAGAAAGTGAATCGAATTACTCAAACCAAGACACAACACTCTCAAGGGTAAGGGCAAACCTTGTCTACACTATGGCCTAGCCTTTTGAGCTGATCTATCCTGCTTCTGGCCTGCACATATGGATTGTACCTACAAGTAGACAGATCAGAAAGTTCTGAAACCCAAAGGGATGAAGCAGTCAAAATAATGGCGACAACTTCATGGCTATATCGCCCAACACAATCTGTTGCTATAGAACTGCCAGACCAAAAGATCACTAGTGGGCATTGGTGTACTTTCTTGTTTCATTAGCTAGTGAACTTTGATCACAGTAATTAATGAGTTGTGCATCATTTGTACTCCTCTAATGCAAGTCTTCAATTTCGACAAAATAACTACCCCGTGGCTTGCTGACAATCGACTAATTTTCAATAAATAACAGAACTCTGCCTTCACTTGCAGTTCAGCATACTTCAAAACAACACTAGAGAAAGCATCGCCGTGCAGCTCATCTCACAGGTGGTATAGTATTTCCAAGTGACATCAGTAGCCAGTGAGGTAAATCACCTTGCTCGAATGGCGCGCATGCTGGTGGGCTCGTAGCCGGTGTAGGACTGGGTGCTGTACTCGAAGTCGGAGTCGGGGCCTCCGGGGCAGTACACGCAGATGTTCCCCGTGGTGGCGATGTGGGGGCACCGGTGCGGCTTCGACATCACGGCGACCACGGCAATGCCCGACGCCGTGCGCACGGGCTTGGCGCGCAGCCTTGGGAGCAGCGCGGCGCGGTCGGCCTCCGGCACCGCCGCGATCATCTCCACCAGCTTCGGCGCCCGCGCCAGCCCGTACCTCCGGCACGCGGCCGACTTGAGCGCGTTCAGGTCCACGTCCTCCCCTCGCCGCGAGAGCTCCCCCATCGCCGACACGATCTCCGCGATGGCCCGCACCCGCGCCTCCTCCTCCGACAGCCCCGCGGGGAGCACCACTCCCCCTCTCCCCGGCGCCGGCTTCCTCCTGCGCGGCTGCTCGCCGCCGCCGCCACCGCCGGCGGCGGCTACGGCGGTGGCCATCGGTGGAAAGGGTTTTGGGTCTCTCGGTGAGAGCTCGGGATGTAGCGTGGCGTGGCGGCGCGGGTCGGAACTCGGAAACGGAATGGGGTTTGGAGTTTGGACTCGGGTCGGTGTTGCGCTTTGCCCTTGTACACGTGCCGTACTAGATCTCGGCCCCCCGCACAGCCGTCGGATCGTGGTACGGACGTCTCAGATAAGACCACGTCGCTCTGCAACGTCGTAGTAGCCTGGAAATACTCTCCCGAATTAAAAACTTTGGAGGACGAAACTAGCCTTCTCTCCTTCTCTCTCGTGTTCTCTCCCAATCTCTTCTTGCGGCGGAAGCAAAGCGAGAAGCGAGGCGACTCTTCTCCGGCGGCGGCGGCGGCGGAAGCGGCGGCGAGATGGACGGCGGCGTAGGCGAGGAAGGGAAGCAGCAGCCGCACCTGGTGCTGGCGCACAAGCTGTTCCTGCTCTCGCACCCGGACGTGGACGACCTCGCCAAGGTCGACCTCCGCGCCGATGTCCTCGCCGCAGTCAAATCCGATGGTAGAAAACCTCAACCCCCCCCCTCCACTCGAATCAATGGCCGTGGCAGCTTCCGCTTGCCGCGTGCTTCTGACTCTGTGTGTGTGTGTGTGTGTGTGTGTGTGTGTGTGTGTGTGTGTGTGTGTGTGTGTGTGTGTGTGTGGGAATTTGGCGCTTGAGTTGATTTGATTTGATTTGATCTGATCGATGTGCTTGGCGTCAGATATGGCGTCTCTGTACGAGTCGCTGGGGGCCGGCGGCGTGCTGGAGACGGACGCTGCGCTGCTCGCGGAGATGCGCGGCAGGATCGAGGAGGAGATCCGGAAGCTTGACGAGAAGTGAGTAGATCTCGCTTGCTCACCTTTTCCTGTTCGATTTGAAGTCTAGGTTCTAGGGTTTCATAGAAATCGTGGAGTTGACGCATCTAATACCGTGACTAGATCGCTACTTTCATACTCGTATCTCTAGTCTGTAATTGTCCATTGTTCAATGTTAGTGCGCTTAATTTGCTTTAGCACATCTGACCATCAATTGGTTAGTCCTGTTTTCTGTAACAGAATTATCAATTGAGATTTGTTTTTCTGCATTAAGGGCATGCCGAGTTCTGCTCATCTGAATTAGAGTAATCTAATCTAGCCATCCAGATTAGAACAAAATGTTTAGTGATGATAAATATAAATTTGATGATCGCATGGACAAAATAAATGCTGTTGAGGAAGCACTTTAGTTTATGCCATCATAAATTTTATCAACACTTGCTGAAAGGCTCACAATTTGTGCTTGTTATGGATAGCTTTCCGTTCTTCTTCTAGCATACATGAGTTATCATTTTGCTTGAGAGTACTATTCTGAAATATAATCAAAGTTGTTCAGTTATATTCTTGTTGTTAAAAATCGTCCTTTATCCCTGAAGGATCGCTGATGCTGAAGAGAATTTGGGTGAGAGTGAAGTGCGTGAAGCCCATCTAGCCAAATCGTTGTATTTCATAAGGGTTGGAGAGAAGGTAATGTATCATGTATCTTCAACATTGTTCTAGGATATCATCCACATCACGTAGATATGCTGTCTTAATAACTGAAATTTCAGGAGAAGGCACTAGAACAGCTTAAAGTTACTGAAGGAAAAACTGTAGCTGTTGGGCAAAAGATGGACCTTGTTTTCCACACTTTACAGATTGGGTTTTTCTATATGGATTTTGATCTCATCTCTAAGTCTATTGACAAAGCCAAAAAGTAAGTCCGAAGTCTCTCATTTTTGTTATTTATAATGTTTTGCTTGTTTTTTTGTTTTGCATTATGATGTCTAATACTTCACAAATTTGTTGGCTGGATTGAAGATTGTTTGAGGAGGGTGGTGATTGGGAGAGGAAGAACAGATTGAAAGTGTACGAGGGCTTATACTGCATGGCCACTAGAAACTTCAAGAAAGCTGCAAGCTTATTTTTGGATTCAATTTCAACATTCACAACCTATGAGTTGTTCCCCTATGATACATTCATATTCTACACAGTTCTTACAAGTGTTATCTCATTGGATCGTGTATCCCTAAAGGCAAAGGTATATTCGTCTTTGCCTAGTGAGGTTTGCTTTATTAGCTTGAATGTCCATTGAACAAAAATATCTTTGCAGGTTGTAGATGCACCTGAGATCCTGGCTGTAATTGGCAAAGTACCTCACCTCTCTGAGTTTCTCAACTCCCTCTACAATTGCCAGTACAAGTCATTTTTTGCCGCATTCTGTGAGTAACAAAATCACATTATTTTGCGATGATTTTTGCATTATACTCTATTGAGCAGTAATTCTCCTACAGCTTGCTATTGTTGATATCTTTGAATTTCTTATTCCTGATTCCTATTTGTTTTCAGCTGGCTTGACGGAGCAGATCAAGTTAGACCGTTACCTGCAGCCTCATTTCCGTTACTACATGCGTGAAGTCCGTACTGTTGTCTATTCACAATTCCTCGAGTCCTACAAGAGTGTGACGATGGAAGCAATGGCTTCTGCATTTGGTGTGACCGTTGATTTCATAGACCTGTAAGTGCCATCCTCTATGTTCTGTTGCTGTGATCCTGTCGTGTCATACGACGGCAATTGTGCTGTTCATGGCCATTGGTTGCTAACCTTTTCTTCCAATCCAGGGAATTGTCACGCTTCATTGCTGCTGGAAAGCTCCACTGCAAGATCGATAAGGTTGCTTGCGTCCTGGAGACGAACCGGCCTGATGCCAGAAATGCTTTCTACCAGGCAACCATCAAGCAAGGGGACTTCCTGCTGAACCGCATCCAGAAGCTATCACGAGTCATTGACCTGTAGGTGTTAGTGTTGGAGCTGGTGCTTGCCAAAACTCTGCTCGAGCTCCCCCGCACGAGTAACTTATTTGCTTTGGTCCCAGGGGACTACGAACAGTACTTGACTTCGCATTCGAAGTAGGTTACGAGGAAAGAGAGCTTAACAAAATCAGCGTTAAATCTGAGAATTTGAGCTTATGTAACCTACTATATGGATCGATGAAAGTTCAGACCCGTTGTTTCTAGACTCTCTTCTGTGATGAATTCATCCATTTATTTCATATCGGTGATCATTTGTGTTTCCATCTCAAATCTTCAATCTTTCTGCTTGGCTCCTTTCGTAACTTTCTTTAACAAGAACACAAGCTACTGTGCTTCTAAGCTGAACCACAAACAGGAGAACTGAGGAAGGCCATAGCCAACAGATAAAACAAAAGGTATCAGAAAATATCATGCATTTCATCTCAGAATATGATAGCTAACACATAACACAACGATTGCTGCCATTACAGTAAGCAACACAACTATGTATCCGCAACAGAAACTTAACACTGTTTATTCAACTATATGATAATTCTGATTAATGTGACTACACATAGGGCAAAGCTCGCAGAAATTCTTCTGTATGTGTACATTTTTCATCATGCAGTTCTCAGGAAACCAAAGACATCCTACCCGCCTAGAACAAGGGGGAAACCAACTCACCAACAAAAAATTTTCAACACTAAAATCACAAACCAAGTTCCAGAGAATCGCACATGGGGTTAAAGGATTGCAAGACTGTAATTGCTATGGTATTTTCTAGCCAGCTGCTTGACTGAATTTGCCATTAGGCGTGCCCACAGGGTTGTTATTGTCGGATCTGGGGACAGCCGCTTCCTCTAAGCGCTTCCACAAAGCTTCTCGCTTCGAATTAGATTCTTCCTGCTTGAGTTCATCGTCGTTGAACTTCTGTGTGCACTCCCCGAAAAATGCAGAATCATGATCTGAGAAGATCTTGCGTACGTTCAGTGTCAGGCTTCGAACTGCTTGGTTCCAGTGACCCCTTGCATTCCTCTCAAGCGCAGGAAAGATAATGGGTAATATCACCTTGTAATTCTGCTTAATTAAGTTCTCAATGTGGTCATTGTTCCAAAGAAACAGCGCCCGCTCTGCCACCTAGGAACAGACAAGGAAAAGAAAAGGTAAGCCAGGCTATATGTTTTTCTAAACACACTAATTTCTCAATATGTTTCTCAGATGTCACCAAGTATCTAGGCATCCATCTACAGGAAATGTTTAATAAACTACAAAAATGCTTCAGCAAATCACATATAACTAGGCAGAACCACTGGACCAACATGATAGACATAAAATACCATTCCAAGACAACAGATGGTACCAAGGCACTGCATTATTTTGCTAGATAGATGAGTAGCAGCTTGCAAGATAAATGTTATTTACATAGCAAGATAGCAAAAAAAGAAAAAAAAAGAGAAAGTAATCCTGAATACAAGTCTAAGACCTGTTTCTGGCATGATTTGCAACCAGCAGTTGGCAAATATAGATAACCAAAACTAACTAATGACTTCAATAAGACACTATGTTTCTTGTAAAACAGACATTATACTTTCCTAAAGCAGGATAAGAATATGTTAAAAACATGCATAATTAATCCAAATACAAACCAAAACAAAAAGGGCAACAAAGAGTCGCACCATCTTTTCATAGACATACATAATTATTTGGGTGGCATGTTTCCTCTTTAACCTAACACCACCAAGTTCTAATTTTGGTGACTTAGTATCTTGGAGTAGCAGTAGTTCTATGTTCAGATAAAATTAACAGCTTGCACTCAACAATCAGCTTCCACAGTACAGAATGTCTTTCTAATCTTGTAAAATTACAGATTGGCATGCAAATTTTCTTTCCTTTTTGGAGGAGCATGTAAGATTCTAGAAGGTAACAAGCACCTAAATCTGCAATCACAGATTATTCAGGGGACGCACATGGGTAGGATAGCAGGATAGAGATAAACAAGAAATTTCATGCCCCTATAATGATTAGCAAGGGTACATATCAATTGTAATAAGGATTTCAAGCAAGATAACAAAAATGAGTGTAGTAAAAATGAATAAATTGGTGGTATGTACCCTCCAGAAGATTGGCATATATATACAAAAAAATGATATGCTGATGTTTAGAATGCCCTAGCATTGTAAATTTTCAAACTAACAAGTACCAACAGAATTTCTTAAGAAAACAAATGCTCAAGAAGTATAAAACATCTTGGTGATTTTTTAAATATAATTCCAGATTAGCATATGTCAAAAGCAGCTCCATGGTTCACCAGAAAAGGTAGATGAACACCAAAGCTTGATCTTTTTTAAACTGATGAAGCAAATTATATAATATCATCTGTGGAGGAGAGCAATGTGGATACACAGTAATGGAATCAGAAACCTAAGCAGCAAACTGCATATATCTTGGACTGTGAACAACAAAGAGGATTGAAGTTGACATGGATTTGAATTTTGAAACTTGATTGTTGGCATGAGAGATTTTACCTGGAAATGTGAGCTATTCATGCTACAGGCAATCTGACGGAAGAGTGGAACCATGCATCTTTGGAATTCTGCAGGCTGTGTTGCCTCCAGAACCTCTTCTAGTTCACCCAAGAACATCACCTCCTTTGAACTGTTTGTCACAGGCCAATATTTTAGCAAGCCCCTAATAACAGTGTCAGCAAGTTTGCAGTCCTTCTCAACAAACTGTGTGATGCAGTATGATAATTGCTGATGGTACATAGATACACATTTTGGCTTGTGAAGTGGGATCAGTGCCCGGACAAGGAACAATTTGTGCTCTTCTTTAAGTGGAAGAGCAAAACCATTAATTATGCTGCCCAAGATCTCCAGCAGCTCTGCAACACCATTATGCTTCTCTGTTTCAAATATAAACCTGTAGAAAATATTGTTGATTGCTTTCCTGATGAAGGGGCGGTGCACCATGAATTTACCATATATGCGATGGAGGATTGTCTTCAAATAATCCCTTTCCCTGGGGTCTTCCGAATCAAAAAGATCTAGTAGCCTAAGGATGAAGGAATGATCTATGTATCTCTTAGCCAGCTTTGCATCTGTCTCCTGTGATGCGACAAACCTCAAGAAAACCTCATAAACTATCTGTAAATGTGACCATGCTGGGTCCATGAGAGGCTCCTCCTCCTCCAGATCAACTCCTTCGATGGCCTTGTTCTCTCGAGGGGTGGGGCTGGAGCTCCGGAACAAGTTAATCGACACCATCTTGGTAATCTCCGACATGACGACTTCAGAGAACTTGCCATTTGCAGAAGTGACATAGTCAACAAGTTCCATAAGCGTCTGCCGCTTCGTCTCCTTTTCCTTCAGATTCTTTGTCGGATCCGCGAAATCGTACACCGCGCAGCACAGGTTCACCTTCTTGACAAACAAATTCTGCTTCTCCGAGGCCGGCACGTCCTTGAACGCCGGCAGCGGCTCGTTGGAGTGATACACCACAGTCCCATTCATCATCGGATTGGGCGTCAGCCCAGCCGGCACCACGTAATCCCCATTTCCACTCCTCTTGTTCCCTTGCTCCACGCTCCTGGCGACGCTGTACGAGTTAGACGGCTCATTGCCGTTCGGCCCAGCGGCGTCCCGGCTATCGCCGGCCTTCCCTGGCTTCCTCGGCAGCCGGCCAAGGATCTGCTTGATCATCTTCTTCCCCCCCCCCCCCCCACCACAGCCAACCAAAAACCCTAGCAATACCCAAATCAGCCGCAGCAACCAGCAGGGATCTACAAACCCACAGCTCCCTCCCAACTCACCCAACAGCACAAAGATCTCCAGACCTGAAGGAATCCACCACCCAGCCTCCCCCAACCCAATCAACACGAGGCCCAGATCATTTGAACCACAGCACGGAGAATCAGACCTGGTCCAGGAACAGCCGCTCACTCCACCGCCCGGGGCCTCATCGGATCAGGCGACGGCGGCGACGCCCCCATCGCCCCTCCCCAACACACTCCCAAAAACAAAAACAAAAACAAAAACAAAAAAAGAAAAATCCAACCCTTTCCGCTCCCCGGACAGCCAAATCTAGGATCCAAGAACCGGGGCGGCAGGGGCAACCGGCCGGCCGCCGACGCGAATGGCGAGATCGGGTGAGGAGCGCAAGCAGCAAGAGCGAAGAGGAGAACCTTTTCTTGGCTTGAGGGCGAGCGAGAGCGAGAGAGAGAGAGAGAGAGAGAGAGAGAGAGAGAGAGAGCTCTCCACTTTTTCTCCTCCTCTGGATTTGAGAGGCGGCCTTGAGGTCCCCCAAAAGTAGCAAAAGCAGTAAAAAAAAGCTTTGCGCTTGCGCCGCAGCGGAGGAGAGGAGAGGAGAGGAGAGTGTGGACAGTAGTAGCAGTAGCAGTATTCTACTGCAACTATTTCTGGGGGTGAGCTGCAATTAATTGCACACGCAGGCGGCTGTCCCTTCGCCATCTTGTGCATGTTTTGGCCTCCCCACACAGAACCTTCATGGGTGTTAGTGCTAGGTAGGGGTAGACTGATGACTGTGACTCAAAAGTGGGAGTAGGAGTACGAGTACTCCTTTTTTTTACGTCATCTTCCAGTATTAAACTGAGTTTATTTTTGGTATTGTTTAGTTCACACCAAACTTTCCCTAAACTAGTAATTTTCCATCATATCACATCCAAAACTTTTCTCCTCACATAAACTCCCAACTTTTTTTCCTAAACTATCAACTTCCCAAACTTCTCTCCAATTTCAGAAACTAAACACAGCCTTTGTTACGGTATAGTACTCCATCCGTACTTAAAAAAAACTCAACCTATCCCCTACTAGGTTGAGTTTTTTTAAGGACGGAGGGAGTAAATCAACTTTTATGTTTGAATTTTGTCTTAAAATAAGCCAACTTCTACATTCTTAAATACCCTTGGTTCGCAAATGAATAAAATTTATCATTTAAACATCGCCCATCTACCCATCTATCAATATAGTTCTCCTATTTGTCTTTCTCCTTAATTTTATCTTGGGAAGTTAGGGTTTGGCATTTTGTGACACTTCCTCTATCCCATAAAAAACCAATCTAGTATTGGACATGGCACATTACTACTACTACGAATCTGAACATTCATAGTAATATTCATTCGATTATATATTTGTTTTTTTAGGGAGTAAATGTTTTGGAGATAACCAAATGGAGACAATGGGAATTGGAGTAGTTTATCTATATAGCGGAAGTCGTTCTCCTTTTATCCTCCCCTACTTTCGTCTAAAATTCACTTCCCTCTAAAGACTGATTTATATAAAAAAGAATTGACTACGGTATAAAACCAATTAACCCATTTTGCTCAAATGATGTGTTCCATCTCATACTTGGATCGAGCTGGTAGGAATAACAAGCTGTAGTAGGAAAAAAAAATTGTGACAAACTTTTGGATTGGATAAGCCAGCATGGTGAAGTGGCTAGGAGATGTGGTGTCAGTGGTACTTGATGCTGATTTAAAAGGTGTCCCCAGTAGTGTCTTGATGTACTAGTAGTACTACTCTCCTTGCTTGTACCGGGGGGGTGTTTAGTAGGAGAGAGGGGTGGGACTTATGCTTCTATGAGAGGGACTAAAGTTTAGTCCCTAGTTTCCAAACACCTCTGAATCATCCAAATGTACACCATACGTTGCTGAATACTCAAATCATTATTTGTAATTTCTCTACAACTAATTAGTACATATTTGTCATTATAAAATATCCTGAACTTATGTAAGCTACGGTGCTATGTTACCCAAAAGGACATGGTCAATCAGTACTAGCAATACTGACAGTAGTATTATCTTTGGATAGTATAATCTAGGTAGCGAAGGGCACCTAAATGACACTGTTAGTGACTACTAATCAAGTCCTATATTGCATTACTAATACTATAATCGTGTGGATCATGCCAGGCTAATTAGTGGAGTAGTAGCATGCACGCCAATAAATGCACTGACCTAAGCTGTCTACCAAATCGTTCAGTCGACTGGCCTGACACATTCCGTCGGCGCCAACGACTCGTTTAGCAGCCATCAAAGCGCAAAATTATGGGAAAATTAGGCGATAATTATAGTATTCGAGAACGGGACCGTCCACAGTCTATCATGCCAGAAATACACACAGTGCCCCATAATTTCAGCAAATTAATTAGTAGTTGGTCAAGTTGTACTTATCGTCTTGCTGTTCGTTGTAGCGTAAGAGCATGTACAATAGCAAGGCTATAAACCAGCTATAAACATATTTTAAAGAGATAAAAGAAGAGAGAGAAGAGCAGCGGGCTACAGATCTATTGTCAGCTGCAACACAGACTCCAATACATATTGTGTGTATGACATGTGCGATTAGATATTAATAGTATAGTAAGTAACTATTGTATGAATTGACTATTATACTGGCTATAGATGAATTGGAGCTAGTAGTGGGCTATACTATTAAACTTGCTCTAAGCATACAGTTTGAAAAAGAGTAAAGTCCATCACCGGTCCCTAAACTTGTACCGTTGTGTCATCCCGGTCCCTAAACTCGCAAATTGACCGTTCAGGTCCTTAAACTTGTTCGACTGTGTTATCCCGGTCCTAAACTTGCAGATCACTCGTTTAGATCCTCCAACTTGTTCAGTTGTGTCACCCCGGTATTTAAACTTGGATTTAAATATCATCTGGGTCAAATAGGACGGTTTAAAGACTTCATATTTAAAAATAATTTATAACTTTTTCATGTGAATTCTAACGAAGACAAACTTTATATCAAACTTGTAGCCCTCGACGCGATCTACAACTTTGTAGTTGAATTTATTTTTATTTTAAGTCATTTTTTGTCCCAAAATGTAACTTTAAAATTAAAATTTCAAAATCTATAAACATGCAACAATATTTTGGGATCCTAAACAGTTTTAATTCAAAAACTTTTCAACTACAAAGTTGTAGGTCGTGTCGAGGGCTACAATTTTGATATAAAGTTTGTCTTCATTAGAGTTCACATGAAAAAGTTATGAATTATTTTTTGATATAAAGTTTTTAGACCATCATATTTAGGGACTGGGGTGACACAACTGAACAAGTTAGAGGACCTAAACGAGTGATCTGCAAGTTTAGGGACCAGGATGACACAGTCGAACAAGTTTGAGGACCTGAACGGTCGATTTGCGAGTTTAGGGACCGGGATGACACAACGGTACAAGTTTAAAGACCGGTGATGGACTTTACTCTTTGAAAAATCACTGCCTCAACCAAAAGATTTTTAAATAGTTACGGAATCGAACTTAATTAATGGGCAGGAAACCATCGATTTTCACCTTGGAGTTTCATGTAATTTTGTCTTAGTTGTGCCTGTATTACTATTGCTAATTGCTCGTTACAAATATCTTTTTGCGGTAGAGAATAGAGTCTTGGATGAAGTGTTTTAGGGGTTGTGATTGTCATTTTCTGAGATAATAAGGTCGACATATTTTTATGCAAATCGATTGATGCCGTCTAATCGACCTATTCCTTCCGTTCCAAAATAAAATTATTTTTCACTTATCACACGTATACTAATAAAAATAAAAAAACTAGACTATCCCATTTTATCAAATCCTAATATAATTATTCCTTAGTGCTCCCAATACATTTATCTCGTGCTTTTAAAAACTCGAATACAATAATTACTAAAATTAAACTTATTTTGAGACATACGGAAGGAGAAATAGACTATTCTGTAAGAGATGGAGTAGGTTCCAAGCGGCCGGTTACCGCATTAACTAGGTTTGTCGACACTGTACGATAGCGAAAATCACTTAATATTTCGATAAGATTAAAAGAATTTGATAAAATTAATTCTTTTAGTGAATATATTAATTTGGTTTTTGTTGGTAATAGATGTGTTGCTGCAATTACCGTTGATATCGATTAGTACGAGAGACGGAGAGACCCCACCCCTATTCGGTGTTGATTTTTTTTCCCCAAATCATAAATTCACAACAAAGTATCACGTGAATGATAATACCTACAATTAGGCTAGGGAGCACAAACTGGAGGTAGCTCGTCTGGTTGTGTTATTTGTAGTGGAACACGAATTCAGGTCCTATAAACATATGTAAATGATAATACACATAATTGAGCTATATTTTCTTTCAGGGATAGACAACGATATACCGTTTTTGTTTATAGTGAGATCGACACCTATGGTGTCTTCATTAATCTCGATAGTAATATCAAGATATGTGACCTGGTCTTCAGAAATCATCCGTGGTGAGTTCTTTAACATTGATAGTGATTTCAAGAGATGCCTCCTAAGTTTCTTAGAGGTGCTATATGGTGAGTTCATCAATATTGAATCTTAAGATATACTAGTTCAGTCTCTAAAAGGTACGCTCAAGTGACTTAGTCAATCTCCACATAATCAAGTCTACGTTGACGGCATCAATCTCAAAATATCCCGACCTAGTTCCATGGGCTAATGTTTAGCCATCACCTTTTAGCCTCAAATTAGCCCTCAAGGATCCAAATAGGTGGGCTAATTTTAAGCTAATATAAATTAGTCCCCCTCAAAACATTAGCGCCTTCAAGGGGTGCTAATGGGGCTAATTTTGTGTGGGGACCATAAAAAGCATGTCTCTCTCTCCTCTCTTTTTACTCTCTCTGCCTTTTAGCCTTAAATTAGCCCATGGATCCAAACATGTCACCCTAGGCTAATGTTTAGCCTATCAATTAATGACTAAACATTAGCTCTCAAAATTATCCCTGAGCTAATCTTTCAAATAGGGCCCTAGTCTCTTAGAGGTACTCCGTGTTACTTTGTTAATATAAATAAAGTATAGCACTTAGTCTTTTAAAAGTGTTGATAGAGGCAAGATGTGTATATACGAGCGTCTGCCTTTTGACCATTTTTTTTTTTAAAAAAAGAAGCTATGGAGCGATCATCGGGTCTTGAACTTTGATAGCTGAAATGCACCTGTGAACGATTTTTTTTTATAATGAAAAACTTTATTTCCGGTCTTTACACGATGTGCACACAACCTATAAGCTGAACGGATAAAAATTAATGGCTGGCATTTTACAAGTGTACGACTAAAATTCATCAAAACTGATTTTGTGAGTAGAATTGTGACAAACTCAACGACAAATGTACATTCACTTCTCAATAGCGGGAGCAAAATAAGTACACTTGTTAGGTTTATTATGACGATTGATGAAACATATATATCTAAGTTTTAATATATACTCCTTCCGTCCCAAAAAACCTCAAAGGTTGGGTTTTTTTTTTTTTGACAGAGGGAGTAGACTTATTAGAGTGTTTATATTCACAGCTAATTATTTTTTTAATAATATATGAATACTAGATTTAAGCTTTAGACCGAGACAATTACATCCCAATAAGTTTATGGATTCGCCAAAGTGGAATGGATGCACCCTCATATTTTTACTGTTGGTGTGAACTAGGTTGATTCTTTAATTTACTGGTGTGAACTAGGTCGATTCCAAGTGTTTAGCTTAGTATAAATAAAAACTTGTTTTGTTCTACTTATTTCAAAAATTAGTGCAAATATAGATTTTCTTTTGCCAAGTATAAAGTGAAACAAATCTATACATTTTTTTTAGAAAAAACACTTCCCAGTGCCAATATACTAATACTACGGAGTAAATCTGGTAAAATACTAATACTACGGAGTAATTCTGGTAAAATAATTTTTGGTAGATATGTGGGTCCCACTTGCCAGTCTCGGCGTAGGCTATATATCCGGAGTCGGACCCCCTCCCAACCCGGAACCCTGAACCCGCCAACCCGCTTCTTCCCCCCGACCCCTTCGCATCTCTCGCAACAAAAGAAACGAAAAGAAAGGGTTTTTTTCCTCTCCCCCATGGAGGCAGAGCACCCGCACCAGATCACATACACCACCACCACCACCACCTCCACCTCATCCCTCTGCCCGCGCCGCAGGAAGAGAGGAGACGACGAGGCGGCGCACCACCTCGTGTTCCCCATGGATCTCGACTCGGCCGCGGCGGCGGCTGCGGCGGCGGCGCACCACCAGCAGCAGCAGCAGCAGACCACGGTTCGTCCGTCTCTTTCCCCGTCTCCCCCCTTTTCTTGCGTTTCTTGGATGAAATTAATCTGCTGCTTCATCGCTGGACATATGCTCTGCGAGTTCTTGTTCTCGGGTTTGGGGGTGTTGGGGGGGGGGGGATTTCTTGGGAAGGCTTGTGTGCGAGGATTTGTGCCTGGGGTTCAGGAGAGGAGGAGGAGGCGCCTCTCTGGATTCTTTGCTTTGGTGGGTTAGCGAGGGTTTCTGACTTTCTTCGTGGCCGTGGTTGGTTGGCGCCGAATGCGTGGTGCGAGAATTCTTAGGCGGTTCTTGTTGTGTGTGCGTGGAAAGAGAGATTCTTTGCTTGCGTGTGCAGTGATCGGGTGATTTGGGAGGAATCCATGGTTTTCTTTGACCTAGGTGTTACCGCCATGGATTGGATAGAGGATGTTCCCATTATAAGCTGGAATCATGAGGAATGAACCTTCGTGGGGAAACACTAGTGCAATTTAGCTTCCCTTTTTTCTTTGTCGTGAGTAGTTCCTTGCAAGTGTTTCTCAGCGATTGAAATGAAAGATTAGCAGTTCAGCCCTTGCGTAGTTAGCATTGTTAGCATTTTAGATAAATGCTGGCTGTGTCTGTGTGGACATCAATGGCCAGGAGATGTTTGGTTGCCATTATCAGCTTCATCTACACAAAGTTATTTCTTTTGTTGCGATATCTTGTTCATCCTTCGTACGGTTGGCAGAGAAACAGTACTGTATCTCGGGAAAGGTTTGGAGGGATGCTGTCAGGAGTTCTGCAAAGTAGCGTAATAGCTTAAAACTACATGGCATTCACTTGTTCTTGGCAGCACTTGTACTTGGTTCTGTTTTTCCTGTTGAGAGATGTTCGATTATTGGCAATTTCATCTCATACCCATGTGCATTTGATAACCTCCTAATAGATATTTGTGGCTTCATCATAAACAAAACAATAATTATAGCAATTCTTGCTTCACATGAACCTTTTTGCAAAAAATTACATTGAAGTCTAACAGATGCATTTTCTGTCAATAGTCCCAGGACAAGCTGAAAGCATTGGCTTATGAGTACGGTCATGAGTTCCGAGTATTTTCAAGTGTAACATTTGAGTCAATGACTAGCAACTTGCCCGCAGCAGATCAGGGTACAATATATCTCTTGCTTTTATGAGTTCCGAGGTTTTCTTTACAAAAATCTCTCTATCTTTATGGTTGTGCTCTGATGCTAAAACATGGTTCATGCAGAGGAAGATGATGACTTTTATGAGCTTCAGCCTGCTGACTATTTCAACTTGGTTTCGAACAGAATAGGAGGTTAATTATATTGACACTTACTATTGTTTGGGAACTTTAGCATCTGTGTAGTACTGTCCAAATTGTACTACTTTTCTTTTTTATTGTAGCACTATCTAAAACAATGAAACTGACTGCAGAACAATCGAAAGTTTTGAAGACTCGTAAAATGCGTGAAGCAGAACTTGCTGCCCAACGAGCAAAGATAAAAAAGGTAAGATATAATTCACACTGCTCTTCTCTGTATTTAGTGTTTCTTTCTGAATCTAATTTGGTATAATATCTATTTTTCCACAACCTTCTTAACTGTAGGCAGTAATGAGGGTGCGATTCCCTGATGGATACATACTTGAGGCCGATTTTCATCCGTCAGAAACAGTTCAAAGTCTGATGGATTTTCTGAAGAAAGTAATCTCTAGACCAGACCTGCCATTCTATCTCTGTAAGTCCACTTGCTTGGGAGTTACTGATGTATTAGCTTCAACAGTAGGGTTTCACCTCCTCTTTGCCCCCTTAATTACCCACCTTTGTTTATCCTATCAACAACGATCTCGGCTTACAGTTAGTGTAATTTCATCTGTTTCAGTTTACAGTTAGCTTTGGTTTTCATAAAGACTAATGAGAATACTTGTATCTATGATAAGAACTATTTATCTGTTTCATTTGCAATCAAATATGTTGGCAATCATGATATCGGAAATAACTAACCTCCCTTAAGTAGTTCCATCATTATAGTTACATGCGAGTAAAATTTAAGTGCATCCTTTTGTGTAAAGGGTTTTACAATCAACCACCTTTTACAGAGTAATACAAGTTAATAAGCAAAATTGGGTACAACATTCAGAACACCTATTTGATGAGTTCATATGACAACATGACAGTAGCTCAAACAGGACAAGTTTTCTCATCGTGTTCTCGTTGCCCAAACTTGGATTAGACACTATCTGTTGTTATGTCAAAGGAATATCGTCAGTCACCAAGTTGATTCTGTCTGGTGATAGCTTTGACAAATGTTTGAGTTAAAATATGCCACATGTAACCTGTATGTGAAAACATAGCTTTAGGTTTAACTTCTACAGTTTTTTGGGTAAGCATCATATTCATCTGTCATTCTTTGAGCACAGATCATTTGAGTGACATCTCCATAGATTCTCTGCATTCATATCATAGAGATGTACCAGTTATAATTTCGTAATACTCCATCATTTGATTCCACTACAGATACAGTTCCACCAAAGAAGCGGATAAAAGACACTTCACTGGATTTCTACACAATTGGTTTTGTTCCTGGGGCTAATGTCTACTTCTCTTATGATCTGCCGGAAGGTATGTTTGTCCTAAATAAGTAATAACTAGTACCAGGTTTTGTTCCTGGGGAACTCATTAGACATTCCCATTCGTTTTTGTTTTTTTTATTGAATCACATGCAGGCTCAGAGTTAAATACAGACAGTGTAAAATCAGGACCTTATCTCCGTGAAGAAATTCGGATGTTGGATGGACTACCAATTGTCCAAGAACCTGTGCACCAACCAATTGATTCTACTATGAACTCTTCTTCTGCTCATCAATCTGATGTGTCTCAATCAGATTTTGCACCGCCAGCAAACAAGAAACCAGCTAAACCAAAGTGGTTCAAAAGGTAGACTTTCTTTTAGTGACATACTGTTATGAAAGAGTGAATTCATTGCTAAGCTATGCTACTACGGTGCTACTTCTTTTTTGGTTCAAATTTATCTGTTTTCTCACTTCTCTTGGGGAGCAAAACTAAATTATTGCCCTGGCAATAATTTATACATATCTGAATTCTCTGTTTAATTAGAATAAGAACCTACATGGAGACACCTGTGAACTTATCGCTTGCTTTAGGGTGCTAGAAGGTAAATCATGGTGATCTTGCAGCAATGAATTTGCTATTTCTCCAGCAGTAACAAAAACCCCTCTTCAAGTAGCATCGTTGCATGAGCAACAAGCCTAATTTATATATGTTGTCTGAACCACCTGTCGCAGCTTCTAACATATCATCACTTCAAGATGCATTACCATGTTCATCATGAAATTTTGTTGATTTTTCATTTTCACTCTTGACCAATTGTACATATCAATGTATTTATGTTTAAAAAAGTCAGTTTCAGTTTCAACCTGTGCATGCATTTTGCTGTATACCACTGAAGTTGTTCTTTGTAACACTGCTGCTTTCTTGGACATTACTGCTATAGCAATCTTTGCTGCACCGTGCATTTTACTTGATAGATTCATCATTTATGTATGGATGCCTTGCAGGTGATGATGAGGTGAGACAGTCAGGGCGCCAAGAATGCACCACCAGAGGACGACTCTAATGTAGGGGGATAGAGAGTGAAAGCATGACAATAATGGGTTGCTGTTGGCTTTCTTGATGGATGGATACACATTGTAAAATGAAACTTTCCAAAGAAATTTCACGAGTGCTGCAGAATGATTTTTTGCGTCTGATAGCACTGCATTACACTGTACACTCCGTTGCTAACAAAGCCTCCCTTTTCCTGAGTGCATATGGCTGGGGGTGTTTGGTTGATTGCTTCACTTTGTCACGCCACACTTCAGTCATGCCACAGTTTGTAGATGTGTGTTTGTTTCAATGCCACAGTTGTGTCATGCCACACTTTTCTACCGTTAGGTCTCACATGTCATACTCAGATAACTAGAGCTAACATTGCCACACTTGTGGCTAACTATTTCTTGGCCATACTTTTGCCACATGCCACAACTTACCTAAGCTTAGTTATGGCAAGCTTAGGCATCAACCAAACAACCCCGCTACCCCGCTGTGCGTTAATTTTCTGATGTCTCAATATTTTTCGACGCTGACTCATGGTCATGCTCATAAAGCATGGTCATGGGTAGTATTACTTGCTGACAATTGCTTGCAATTTTTTTTTAAAAAAAAACTTGCAGTCTTGCAAAAACGGCCCTTGAGTTCACTGAAATTGCAGTCAAAATCACTTGCACATCATCCTCTTTGCTCCATGATATTGTCTCTAAGTTGCTTTCTCGCGTCAATTTCCCCAGCGACTAGTTTGTTGCAGAGCGTGCAAGCGTTTTTTAGCAGCGGCCTCTAGTGGCCGTGGGCCAGCAAAGATATTGTGCGATGATTACGACGAGGGGTCGTGTGTAATTATGTTCACTTCACCGCTTCAATTATAGTATCGCCTTTGCGAGGGGTCGTGTGTAATTATGTTCACTTCATCGCTTCAATTATACTATCACCTTTGCGTTGTGCTTAGCTGTGAGTGGATGGATGCTTTTGACAAGAACGTTTCTGTCTGGCGTCACGAAATAATGCATTAATCCTGGGATTGGAATTCGACGTCTAATCGCTGACCCTGGATAGGTACAATAGAGATAATGTGAGTGGTCTCACGTTTGCTAATTAGGCCTCGTTTGGAATGTGTGGGGTACAAATTCATACAGAAATCGAGATGCTTATTCTGAATTTCCTGTGTTGTAATAGTAGTAGTCTTAATCCACCTTGGAGTTACAGCGGTGAACGGTGGAAAAAACGGATGAAATTTACCAACAAAATTCAAAATATTCTTTTGACCTTGATAGGGTTAATGGATCATCAAATTGTGATGTGATGTGGCCATGTGGGAGTTGAACATCCAACTACCAACAGGCCCAGCAAACTGCACGAGCTGTGTGTACTAAATTTCCTTGGCCAAGTTTCCCCTATTTCCGCTTATTTTTATTCATTTTTCATGTTGGAGATCAAGTTATCTCAGACGTGACAACACTTATTTTATTCAATATGTCTTCTTGTGCTGACATCTCAGAGATCATCGCATCGAGACCAAGAAAAGGAGGTTTGCAAAGCAAGTCTGAAGTCTCTGATCTCTGAAGACCGTTTAGACTGCAAAATGTGCGCTGATTTCGCCGTGATAATTTCAGAGGTTAGTTGGTAGGATAGCAGCCGGTTAGATACACTGACTCCTCCCCGTTTTCCAAGTCGTAGTCTGACGCATGGGACGGCTGCTTGGACCGAATTTCCAGAGACTTCGATTTCATCAGCGAACAAGCAACTTCCTGAAATCTGAACCTACAACGAAGGAGTACATCGTCAGAGAAAGAACTCTGCTGCGATGATTCAGGTTCAGTTCAACTCAGTCTTCAGGAAGACGGAAAAAGGAAAACAAGAAGGATGAGAGCGTTGCAAATTCTGTTCGTCAGAAGAACGTCTTACACACAGCGGGTCATCACTGGACCAGAAGACGTCAATTCGATGGTCGTAATTCAAACACAAGTTGACAAATTGTCAATAAGATTCTGCTCTGCTCAACCACATGCAGATCAGATCGATCTTTCGGCTCAGTTCGTTCGACGTCACACGCAAAGAAGAAGGCGAGGAGAGAAAGGTATCTGTCTCCTCTGCACACGTGACCCACACTTTTGTGAATTTGTGAGCGTTGAGCTCGTCCGAAAATTTTTCAGATGGGGCAGATGGCAACTCTCCATCCATATTCCATCACCTGTCCTAGCTGCTAAACTCTGAAGAACCTCTCTCGTTGCTCCAGTACAGTACATGATCACATCACATGGGTTTCAGGATAATTGCTCTGGTCCGATGGCGCCACAGATCTGAATCAGTTATCACAGTTCAGTCATCCAGTGTGGTGCTGCTGCTGCTGCTGCTGCTACCAGCTAGTAGGCTGCACGGCGATCTGTGTGCTGGAACCTGGAAATGGTGAGGCCAGGACGCACCAGGTGCGAGACAGCAATTACTACCACTAAGGCCCCTTTGATTTGGAGGAAAAGTATAAGAATTTTAGAGGATTTCAATCATATAGGAAAATTTCCTATGAAGCCCTTTGAAACAAAGGACTGAATCCTATCTAATCCTTTAAAATTCCTATGGAATGGACAATCCTATAGAGATTTTGGAGAAAATTTAGCAAGAGCTTCAACCTCTTGCTAACTTTCCTTTGAGTCTCCCTCTCTCATCCAATTCCTGTGTTTTTCCTGTGGTTCAATCAAACGGCAATTCCTGTGTTTTTCCTGCGTTTTGCAATCCTCTGTTTTACACTTACATTCCTATCAAAATCCTACATTTTTCCTATTCCTACGATTTCTCAATCCTGCGATTCAAATGGGCTCTAAAATTGAAGGAATTCAGTAACCGATACAGTAGCATTTACGGAGATTATGGTCACGTGAGGACATTTTTACGTTAAAAATTCATGACTAATGTAACTCTTAGGTTAGGGCTCCAACGTCAAAAATTCATGACGAATGTAACTCTTAGGTTAGGGCTCCAACGGCGGCTTTTCTGTCAGTAACACACACTTTGAAAAGAACTTATCAATCAATATCAAATACTCTTCGTCGTTTGGACTCGACAACACCGCTGGATCCATCACTGTACAGGATCAGCAAGATCGAGCCAAGAAATACATCAATAGAAATGATGTGTCAAAGATGATGCAGTGACAACTGTATTTTCATGTAGTAAACTGTAAACATGGATCAAAAACCATTCGATTTAGACGCACTGTACCACAGGTTCAGAGTGGTTAATCCATCCCATCAAAGCAGATTGGCGAGTAGTAATCCCGGATCGGTCCATTTCGTAATAGCAACGAGATGGGAAAGCAACCACTTGGATCGGCATCGATCAATCGTGATATTTTTTTCTTCACGCATGATAGCGACCTTGTCAGTTCGTCGATGTGCTGCGAACGTTTAAATTTGAATACCGTTTTCTCTTTCCCACAACAGTTACAAAATCCCTTTTTAGAAATGAATTTCGCGATTACCAACAGAGAAATTGGAATAAGTCGTCGCATTGGACTTTCTGCCCCAGATATGAGAATCTTTTCAGCAAATCCACGGCTCAAACATTTATGCGCGATTTGCTCCTGGATTAAACAAATATATTTAACGATAATAACACATGGACATGTCTCTTGCCACATCCATACCGCAGAGAAAAAACGATGGGCCAGTTTAGTTTGAGATCTAAATTAGGCTTGCCAATTTTTTTGGCAACCTCAACAATAATTGTGTATGTTTGGATTGAAGCCAAATTTTGATATGCCTATATAACATAGGCCATTTCAATAGCCAAATTAGTTTAATTTAGCTTCAATCCAAACACATGTTGGCCTTCCCAAAAATTGGCATGCCAAATTTTGGTAAGGCCAACATTTGTCACAAACCAAACTGGCCCGATATCAATTCAGCTTCTCCATTGCAAAAAAGTTTGATTATCGCGCATAAAAATACCTATAAATATTATACTCTTAAAATACTTCTTTTGTAGAAATTTACAGAGATCAAATTTACTGTCTCCTTGAGCATGTGTTCTAGTGCATTGCGAATATACACGTCTGATGTGAAAGAGTGTATATGTTAGAGAGCACACCGAATATATAGTTGAAAAAGATGCTAAGGGAAAGTGTTAAGTGATTAATTAATAGATTCTCAAAAAAGCTAGTACAACTAGCGAGCATATGCAGTAAAATTCTCCCAGATTTTACCGCGTCATTTGCAGATAAGCCCCTGTATCTGCCCAGCAATTACGTTGGAGTTTTTCACGGTTGGTGGCACAGAGCACGCTGGGTGGAAAGGTTGGTAGGTAGTGGACAGGTGGGTTGCAAGCCGCCCGGCTGTGAGAAAGCCAGGCAGGAGGAGGCGCAGCAGCACTAGCCGCGGTATAAAACATCCAAGCGCTCCTCCATCGTCGCCACCGCTCCGGTTTGCCTCCCGCGCGAGCCCTCGTCGACGCCGCCGGTCAGTACTTTGTCCTCCACCTTGATCGCTGTTGCTAATCTCCGGGAAAAAAGGAAATCGTCTTTTTCTTCTTCTTTTTTCTTCTTGTTTTGCTTCGGCGAGATGTCCGAGGTTTCTTGGGGGTTTTCGGCTCGTTGCAGTGTTTTGGGGATCTTCTTCTTTTTCTTTTCTTGCGGTGGTGTTTGGTTTGAGGTTTTGTGTTAGCGTTTTCTTGGGTTCTTTTTTAGATTTCTTTTTCTCTTTTTTTTTGGGTTCCCCCTCAATTGCGAGCGTTTCTGCGGCGGTGTGTGGGCGATGCGCGTCGCGTGCATGTGCTGCGGCGAGTTTGTTTCGGGTGCGGATCTCGTGCTTGAGCTCTTGATCCCTTTCATGCCGCCTTGGATGGAGTAAAGATAGTGAATTGTGGTTAAGCTTGAGCTAGTGTTCTTTCTTTTCTCGTCTGGGTTCTCGGCTAGGATTCAGGAACTACCCATTTGTCCTGCTTTTGGGAGCCTTTTGACTCTTTTCGTCGCCGGTTGTTTCGTTGGGATGTTGTTTTGTTGGGGGAAATGGTGGATCTTTTTTTGTGAAAAATGTTCTGGCCTTTTCGTTTCTTTCTCTATAGTTGTTTCACTGTGACTAAAGTTTAGCAAGGACAAATTCCAGATTTATGAACAAGAGTCCCAGTCCTAAAAGTTATCCAATTTGTAATTTAGCTGTAACTAATTCGGCTGAAAAAATTAGTGTTGTGAGGTTGCAGACGGTAAAAGATATCCAGTCACCTTTTTGTCAATTTTCATTTTAATAGCATGTGTTGGAGTTGGTTAGTTGTTTCTTGACTGCACACGAGTGCACCATGTGATTGGATGTTGCTATGTTGACCTTTTGTGTTGTTAGCATCTGGAGATAAGTTGATAGTATTTTGTTATCAAAAGTGTTTGGTAGATTGATCTATTAGAATTAGTTCACCTAAATGGCAAAAATTAAGTGTCATATTTGGCCTTGTCATGCTCAGTTTGCGGGATACTAATACAATGCCATAGCTTTAAATTGTCAATGAATAGAACAAGCCTAACCAGGCAAGCTATTTATATGTTCTGCTACTGCTAGCCAATTGTAAATGTTCCATTTCAATGAGTTGTATGAAATTTCTTAGCCTGTGTTCCGATAGTCTTAAGATTGATTGCATTTTTCTCACCTTTTCACAGGTATATTGCTGAAGGAAGAAGAGCACCAACCTATTTATCATGTCAGGAGGATCTTCACCAAGGTCAAGACGAAGCAGCTTTAATTCTTTATCAAGAGATCTCGAACTCCCTTCAGAGCAAGGTTGTCTCTCTGTTATTGTCCTCGGGGCTTCTGGAGACCTAGCCAAGAAGAAAACTTTCCCGGCACTCTTCCATCTTTTTGCACAGGTAATTTGACTCCTGAGTCCTGACAATAACTAGCTGTTTCATGTACAATTTCCAAAATCTACACTACGAAAGGAACAATCTAGTGCACAGTCATTTGAGGCATTCCAGAGCAAAGGTTCAGTTACTCATACTTGATCACAAGTAAAAGCTCGAACACTTGTACTATTTTTTCTTCCCAGATACAGATAGTGGATATAGGACACAATTGAAAAGAATGCTGGAAAATTGCAGAGCAAGCTTCTTTTTATCCAGCAAGCTGTTTTTACGAACCACTCATAAAATCTTAGTCTTTACAAGCATGCAAAATGTGTGCAGTGCTATAATTCCCAGGTTATCGTTGATATTCATGTCCTTGTGTTACAGGGATTTATACAATCAGGTGAAGTGCATATATTTGGGTATGCGAGATCAAACCTTTCTGATGATGGGTTAAGGGAACGCATTCGTGGGTATGGTTTCTAAAAGCTGGGTTTTTGACATCTTGGCATATTGCTGCTGTATTTAGATATTTCTACTTCTTTTAAACATATCTAGCCACTGAATTTGAATGTTATAGCTAGGATAGTTGTCAATAAAAACATTTAATACTCTAATTATGGTCAATACGTACTAAAAACAAGCAGTACATGATCTGAGATACATTGTGTGTAATGCGGTGGCAGTTATATGTTCGACATCTTCATGAAATTGTATTTGTTTTTCCTGTCCCCTATGAAGTTCAATCATCAATTTTGCACATATTTATGCCTTTGTTGTATATTGCTACAGATACCTCAAAGGAGCCTCAGAAGAACATCTCTCAGACTTTTTGCAACATGTGAGTTGTTGTTTGTAATGTAACCACCATTTTGTGATGCGCACACGTCATTATGATAAATTTCTTTTTCAGATAAAATATGTCAGTGGTTCCTATGACAGCGGAGAAGGATTTGAGAAATTGAACAAGGAAATTTCAGAGTATGAGAAGTCAAACAAATCAGAAAGCCCTCGCAGGCTCTTCTATTTGGCATTGCCTCCATCTGTCTACCCTTCAGTCTGCAAAATGATCAGAACATATTGCATGAATCCATGTAAAGTTTCTTTACTATTCCATACGTTATTCTTTTTGGAATTTATACAAGCTATGCGCTCTAGTTGAACAAAAGCAATGAAGCATAAAGTTAGTGGAAAATTCAGGTCTTCTTGGAAGCATTTCTTCATCAAGATTCATTTTCTTTGCATAAATGTTCTGTTTGCAGCTGGATGGACTAGAGTCATTGTTGAGAAGCCATTTGGAAAGGACTTGGACTCTGCAGAAGAATTAAGTGCCCAACTTGGGGAGCTATTTGACGAAAACCAACTCTACAGAATTGATCACTACTTGGGAAAAGAGTTGGTCCAAAACCTGGTAATGGCTATAATTTTGTCAAGAATGTGGGATGATTTCCTCCGAATACTTGACTAACTACTTTTGAAACAATCGCATTTCACAGCTTGTGCTTCGTTTTGCCAACCGCTTGTTCTTGCCTCTTTGGAACCGTGACAATATTGATAATATACAGGTAAGCTGGTCAATAGTTGGTACTTAGCAGTAGGCAACTTATAGGTTATGATTCAAGAAGTCCAACTTTTATAAACTGCAGTTAATGCATCATGTAGAAGAAATATTTTGTAGTCCTCTTGTCAGTTGATTGCTGAACTTCTTTCTGTTTTTTGGTGGAGAACTGCTGTGTTCTACTGGTATAATTTATCATTGTCTGAATGGACTAATTGAATCTAAGAAACTAAAAATATAGGTATATTTCATTTGTACTATTTTAACAGTATATTGCCAACAATATGGCATGCCATAGTAGCTGCAATTTATAATCAATACAATCCTGCAGATTGTATTCAGGGAGGACTTTGGGACTGACGGGCGTGGTGGATATTTTGATCAATATGGGTATGTAGAAACATTACATTTCATTAGCACTTTTCTTAATTAAGTTTTCTATTATAAAATCGTAACCTTACAAGTCAAAAGTGTACATATGAGTATATTATCTAGAGCTAAGTGTTGATAAATTTTGGAAATATTTAAATTCTTTGTTAATTCTTACTGATTAAGAAAAGCATACTCTGCATTTCAGTGTGGAAATGAACATTTTGCTTTATTGAGTTTGCAAGCCAACATGGAAATTATAATTTTCAGTAACAGAAGTGTTCAGTACTGAATTCGAAGAGAGTGCATTCGCTTTGTATATGCCTTTCCTGCTATGAGTTAACTAAACCATTTAAGGATAATGTATACTGGATCATAGTCCTCTCTTTTTGCATAATTGTTTATTGCTTAAACATGTTTTACACCTCCCATCGTGTATCTCGTTGTTCCTCAAGGGAGTATCTAACGTTACTCTTGTTGCTGCAGAATCATTCGTGACATCATCCAGAACCATTTGTTACAGGAAAGTATTCTCAATATGTGTCAACATTCCATATGATATGATTTGCATCATTGTAGTAACCCCCACCCTGTCCTAACAAAGAAAACTTTTAGTACTTTAGTGACTAGGAAAGAAAAGCCTCTTCTTACATTAATTTGTTTAAAATTTATATTCACAGATAGTTTCATGCTGAATTATATATGGTCAAGTAGTACATGATAAATTCCTTGATGAGAACAATGTCTTTAGCCTTTAGGAGTTAACTGTTCCAACAACAATTTAATGAACTGTTGCTTCTTCTGCAGGTTTTCTGTTTGGTTGCAATGGAAAAGCCTGTCTCTCTTAAGCCTGAGCACATTAGAGATGAGAAAGTCAAGGTACTTTACCTTTCTCTATTCTCTACATGTCAATACTATATTGCAGCTTGCCAATACTATAATACTAAGAGTATTATGTTTTAGTCCGTTTCTTTAGTACTAAATAAAACCAGTTCCCTGTTAATGCCAGGTTCTGCAGTCCGTGAACCCTATAAAGCATGATGAGGTTGTCCTTGGACAATACGAGGGGTACAAGGATGACCCTACAGTGCCAGATGACTCAAACACCCCAACTTTTGCATCTGTCGTGCTTCGGGTACACAATGAAAGATGGGAGGGTATGTCTCTCATCAGTATATATACACATTAGGGTTCTGGAGAAGGACAACATTGATTTTCGTTTTCCCTTCAGATTGTCTTTCAGTGGACCATAATTCTTCATTTTAACTCTGTAATATTCATATCCTGCAGGTGTTCCTTTCATTCTTAAAGCTGGTAAAGCACTAAGCTCAAGGAAAGCAGAAGTCCGTGTGCAGTTCAAAGATGTTCCTGGTGACATCTTTAAATGTATGTGCTATAATTACGTGCAGTTCATATCATGGTGTACTCAACCCTTTTCTGACAATTTTCATGGCCTAACTATGTTTCCATTACTTCCTTATGAAATGACTGAGAATGCCTTAATGCCCGTACATAACTAAGCAGTAGAAAGCTATAACCATTTTCAGAAAATCCACGCATTGATGTGGAAGCTGAGAAAGCATTTAATTTGCATTGAATTGATCCATCGAGATAAGCTTTATGTTTTTGGGAAGTCTATTGTGTACAAAGCAGAAAGGTAGATAAACAAGTAAAATGGATCTTCACTCTTCGTTGCCTTGTAATTTAAGTTCACCTGACCTTACCATGGCATGTTAATACTGTTAGGCTGCTAAAATTCACCCATACGTTGTATTAGATACCACCGAGGTCTCAAGAAATTCAGTTGTGCAAATGCAGATACCTTTTTTTCCTTTTTTCTATCAGTATGTTCTTTTTTGTATCTTAATTGCATGTGGGTCTAACATTTGAACTAAACACATCCTGGTGAAGGTAAAAGGCAAGGAAGAAATGAGTTTGTCATACGCCTTCAGCCATCAGAAGCCATGTACATGAAACTTACTGTAAGTTCAGCTACTTGTGTAATACATAATACTCCTCTCCTTGGTCCTAAAGCTACTTCCCTACTCCAGTAAAATTTTATCACATTTTGAATGTTAGTGGTATAATATTAGTCAATGACTTCTTCCAGGTCAAAAAACCTGGATTGGAGATGGCCACCGAGCAGAGTGAACTTGATCTGTCATACGGGATGCGGTACCAAAACGTCAAAATTCCAGAGGCATACGAGCGTCTCATATTGGATACGTGCGTATCATCCTTCTAATTGTTCAAAATATCTTCCGTTAAAAAGATCTTTTCAACTTCACAGATAACGTAATCCGACCATATGCATTTGATTTAATACCCACATATCTACAGGATACGAGGAGACCAACAGCACTTCGTTCGCCGAGATGAGCTGAAGGTTTGTCAGTTGTCACCCTGCATACCTAAAACCTCTGAAGAGAAACTTGAATTCTGTTTCCAAGCCGTTTCGTTTCCGTTTTCTCCCTAACATATGGCACATGTGTGTCCAGGCTGCTTGGCAGATCTTCACTCCCCTGCTGCACGACATCGACGAAGGCAAGGTGAAGTCTATTCCATACCAGCCTGGCAGCCGAGGCCCCAAGGAAGCCGATGAACTGAGCGAGAGGGTTGGGTATATGCAGACCCACGGTTACATATGGATACCACCCACCCTTGCATAGACAGACAGACAGACAGACAGTAGTATTGTTTAGCTAGGAAGAGTGCCTCTAAACTGTTATTATTGCGGATATATTCGTTTCATATTTTCACGATAACGCCTGACTAGTGACTACCTGGCGTTGTAATAATGTGTTGCTTCGTAAGTATAACTGCTATTGTGAAATAAAAGTGCATGTTTCGATCGATGAACAGTGTCAGGTTTTGGGCATTGTAGATACACTGATGATGAATGGATGGCTGCCAACATTGTTGTTTGATGCCTTATGTCCACTGCATTTGCAAGATTAGCTGGTAGCAACTAGCAAGATAAGTAAAGTTGCCAAGAAAAGATGATGAAATGCATGCTCAAAAGCGGCAGAGCAAAATGAACCATAAACTGAAGGGATGTGCTTCTAGATGTGCTGAATTGTTTACCACTGCAACAGCTGCAGCGCGAATATCTGCCAACTTTGCATGCGGCAAGAAAAACTCTAGGCAAAGTTAGGATCGCATTACACACACACACACACTCAGCAAGTAATAGCACTCCATACGGCAGAAACTACTGGCGTAACTTCACGGTCATGAGTCACACCACCTTCTCACTTCGTCTTGACCAGCTTCTTGATTATGCTTTTAAGAGCTGGAGCACTAGCACTGCATTTCTGATCAGTGAAGCATGATCTTCCTTCCTCTGCCGCCTTGCAGAGCTGGGGATCCATGGGAACCTTGCCAAGAAAAGGGACCTCCATTTCCTGGCACATCTTCTCAGCACCACCCTTACTGCTATCAAACACCTCACTGCATGCGACAACAGATAAAAGCTCTGGGGCTTTCTCCTTGATGTAGTTCAGCGCCCACTCGGTGGCATCTGTTTCTCCCGCCTCACTTGGCTTCACAAATTTCATGTCTGAAAATGCCTGCCTCAAGCCACTCATGTTCTCGACAACTCCCAAGACAGGAACGCCAACCTTCTTGCAAAAGTTTATCTCCTTCTTCACGTCGATCAGAGAAACTTGCTGCGGAGTGGTCACAATGATTGCCCCATCAATTCCTGCGATCTGGAGGTACTGTACAATTGAAATATGTTCATCAGATGTTCCTGGAGGTGCATCCACCACAAGATAGTCGATCTCCCCCCAATCGACATCCTTCAAGAACTGTTTGATGAGTCCGTTCTTGCGAGGACCTCTCCATATAACAGCATCATCTGGGTTGGGCAGCATGAAGCCAATTGACATGACACCTAGGTTGGACTCAACATACACCGGCGACCAGCCAAGATTGCTTTGATGAATATCTTGGCCTTCAAGGCCTAACATTTTTGGGATGCTAGGACCACAAATGTCTATGTCGAGAAGGCCAACTTGATGGTCCATCTCAGCAAGGGCAAAAGAGAGCTGGGCTGAAAATGTACTCTTCCCGACACCACCCTTCCCAGACAGTACCAGAATCTTGTGTTTCACGGTATTCATTCGCTCAATGATGGCAAGCAGATCTGGAAATAAAATGTCCACTTGTAAGATTGTTTCGCAAAGAACAAATACTATATGGATAGGCATAGCAAATTCACAATAACTTGGGACAGGGATAGTACATATGGTAGGACATTCACTTGGATAAAAACATTTACAATTAAAAATACAGTTGCTTACGTGTAATGGCGCCTGAAAGTTCATACAGCATCATTCATTAAGGTTCATAAACAGTGGTTCACTTAACATGTAGATATATGGAAAATCTTAAGTGCGATTATAAGTTCTTCTAAGCACTTGATCATTTAAGAACTAGAGAACTTCTATCCATTGATCAAATTGACTTGGAATGCAGATGTTCCAATATACATCCATGGTTGCAACAGTTCATAATCTTCAGAAATAAAGGAACCAACTTTGATGGGCCAACAAATAGGAATTTGTCGGAGAGCTCATGTTCTTTGCATACTTCACACCGGACTGTTTTTTTTTTCTTTTCATAGCTCACACAATCTAAACTTCTTCAAATTCATCAATGCCACAGCCAGTTATACTACAGAAACTTATACATGCTGGAAGCATGCGACTTTGCTATAGATGAGCTACCGACTACCAAACTCTGAAATTTCCTGCACACAACTGACACGAGGCTCTGCAAAAGGATGCTCATACAAGCATAGGCTGTATGCTCCACTAAATTCACACTCGATTGCAGTAAAACCAAACTAAACCAAGCATCGAAGCGACACGCCGCGGAGCAAAGCATCACATGCTGCGATCAAACGCCAAAACAACACTGGTCAAAGGGATTAGATGGGAAACAGAGGTGAGCTATAGATGGCACTGTAGATTTACCGGGATCGGGGCCCTTGGGCGCGGTGGCGCAGATCTGCTGGTTGGGGCACCCGGCGCACGCGTCCGCCTTCCCCGCCGCCTCCGACTGCGTCCCCGGGCAATCTGCGGCGGCGAAACCACAAAAAAACAATTAAAAAAACGATCAAAAAACCCGCAAAAATCCTCGAACACGAGAAACCCTGAGGAAGCAAGTGGTTTGCCCCTACGGTCGTTGGCGTTCTCCGGGACGTCGCCGCCGCCGTTCTCCATTGCCGCCGATGGATTGATTGCTCCCTCCTCCTCTCGCTGCTGCTCGTGAAGTCGTGAGGTTTAGGTGCGGATTTTTCGGTTTTCTTTTCGGAGGCGTGGTTAAGCACAGAAACCCTTGGGCTGACCCGGCAGAGCATCCTAGCCGTTCGTGCTAGATCGGACGGTGAGATGCGGTTTCCGAGGAGAATTTTGCAACCGCGTCCTTTTGGCTCAGGGACCCCAGCGTTACTGCGGAAATTTAAGCAATTGCAAATGTTAAAATTTTGGATGAAATATAAGCACCTTAAAAGGAAAAACCTAACCCAACTTATCACTGCTAGTGAGGAATATTTGTACAAATAAAAATAATCATCAACCGTACCAAGTTCAGAGCCTGCAAACAATATTTTTCAAACGCATGGCTTCGATATTGGTACCATTGGAGGGAAACTCAACTGGCACTCCCTTCCACTCATATTGTACAAAACAAATTAAGGGAATAAGTAACAACAAATTGCTAAAAGAAATGTTGATCCGCTGGAGCATGAGCATATATATAGTGGCAAAATAAACGCAGCAGCATGGCTAAAGGAATGAAGGATTGATCGCAACGATCAAGTATAGCAACTGGACTCTGGACAGGAGGGCTTGTGGTCAGCATGTCAATCCACTGCGATGGTAGAGGAATCAGGAATGAAGGCCGAGTATTCACCTGATTCATTTAGCTAGAGGATGGAATATATGTAGTGCAAGTGCAGTGGAAGATGGAAGGCCTGCTGCGTGAGCCAATGAATGAATATCCAACATTTTGGTTTCAATCAGGAGATGACCTGTCAGGAACAGACAGTTTAACTGTTGAATAGGCCCCTTTGTTTTTTTAGAGGGAACAATTTTTTTTTTAGAGGGAACCCCTTTGTTAATTACTGTCGTGCATGATGATCGGAATTTAAAAAAAAAAACGAAGAGGTGCATCCCACTATCGCTCTTTACACCCTCATCTGCAATCCAGCGACTAGGTGGAATCTATCTGCAATCCAACGGCTTGGTGGAATAGAGGTGACGTGGATCACTCCTAGAGCAGGAAATTAGTTTTAATTGCAGTTAGTGGGGATCACCTATATAGACTAGTAATTTGCCCGTGCTAACGCTACGGTGACATTTAATAACATAATTCAAGCAACCTGCTAACGCTATGGTGACATTTAATAACACAATTCAAACAACCAAAAATATATACAAGACTATATTGCATAGTTATAAGATCAAGCAAAAATTAAAAAAACTATCACTATATAAATAAGTCAATCTGTTCTGTACAATCTGTTGTACGCACATAAATAAGTCCAAAGTAGGTAGTTCTGTACAATATATAAATACTGTGCAGGTAATAACTATCACTACCTTTGACCAGTAGTGAAACACATATTGTTTGCTACAGATCAATAACAAGGCAACATATTGCATACACACCATCACAGTTCGATCATCATCGATCCATTAAAGCAGTCATGGTCAGTGCAAGGCTAGTTTTCTGTAACTCAAGACATTTTGATCTTCAGAATATGTTTGCACGGCCTCATAAATAAAGGAGAAGGCATATTCACAAATCTTGAAATACAAAGGAGGTAAACGAAATTTAATTTGTTCTATGACAGTAATCTGAAATCTATAACACTCTAAGTATGACATCCAACAATTATACGAGTAGGTAGTCACAACTTAAACCTTGAAGCCGAAACCCTTCATTTTGCTTGTCATCGTCCAATGATATGAAGAGATTCCTTTTGCTTGTCATCTTATCCTGCGAAGGAAGTGAAAAACATGTTTGCTCCATTGTACCCGATGCACAGAGAACAATTTTGGATCATAGCAACTACAGTTATGTTTGCTCCAAGTTTATCCTTGTCAATGCAAACATAGTGTATTTACTTACCAACAAAGATTGTTTCTTCTTTGATTTCATATTGACAAACAGATCCCTTGAAAGCTTGCTATTTGAAGAGGATATATGCCTCGGTCCATTCTTAAACAGTGAATAAATCGTAAGGGTAACATATATAAAAGGCTATAAATTTGTCATAATTTTATTCTTTTGTCTCTATATGATTCATGAATTTGAAGATATGATTATCCATTGCACTATCTAATACTCTGTGAATCGCATTTGACGATCCAATACTCATGTGTTCCCAGTTGAGTAAACACATGATAGTTCTGTATATACAGGCATGTTAGGCCTCAATGCATGGTAGGTCTGAAATTAGTATAACGGCAGAAAAAATGACAAAACATTAGTTTGACAATTAGCCTATAAAGACGACTTCTCTAACCCAACAATTAAGAGTTACTACAAAGCTTTTGTTGAGGTAAATATCCTCTGCATGAAATGACTGACAAGTAGTACTTGCATTATACACATAACATAATTTGAACATAATTCCGTTCAACAGCCAAGATGTGGAGGCGGCATCAGGCTCTCCTTTGCCGCATCTCGCCGCTTAAGCATCCAGCGGGCTGGCCTGCTAGGGGGATCGGATGCTACTACGCCACCGAGCCGGAGGGCAGGAAGCCAAAGACGGCTCCTTTGCAGGTAATTTCTGGAATATGTTATCTCTAGGCTAGGCTCGGTGCTTGCTATCATGGCAAATCCCTCCCTTTTGAGTAATGAATGCAGGTCATTGCCGAAATACGTGTCTCTTACCTTGAGAGTTTTGGCGACGAGTTGTATATTTGTACGAAATATTTCGGTCAGGATATAGACAGTGAGAACAACGGACTGAACACATTATTTACCACTGCAGCTCAACAGCATAATAAGAATTTCTCATAAGCAAGCTATCGTTTTGCCTGAATTACTACTTTCTTACACACATTCCATAGAGATGCTTTGATTTTCAGTGGATTTTAACTTTTTTTTAATCGTCCCAACTACACTTGTGAGAAATAACAAACTTGCATTATGTAAAAGTTTGACAATCGGAATATACTGAAAGGCACCCATTCTTTGGGGTTTCAAGAAATCCATGTCATCAGACGGATATAGTAAGAAACATCCATACTGAAATTTGCAGTCAAGGGGCATGGTGGATAGGTTCCGTTTGCGTGCCAAAGGTGGTGATGGCAGCAATGGCTGCATCAGTCTTCCTCGCTCCAGGTCAGGATCGCCAAGGCAAGCCTGATGGTTTAACAACTCCCCTGCTGCACAGCCCATGGAATTGTCACATGGTGCTAGCAGTAATCTTTTTGTGTATTTGTTTGTGGTGTAATAATGCCTGGTCGTGATCAACATTAGCCTAGATCTTAGTGAAAAGGAGTAAGATCTAGGCTAACTTCCTTCCCCATCTCACAGATTGCTAATTGCTTACAAAATAAAATTCAGCAGCACCTAAGTAGAGTAAACTATCAGATGCCCTGTTTTTCCACATAATGCATAACATTAAATTTATTTCTTTCTGAATAGTCTCCAGATCACAATGAATGCATTGGACAATATGTCGGTATTTAATCAATCTAAATATCAGTTGGCCCTAACACATTGACCTAACTTAACACTTACCTATGATGAGATCGGATGACGAGTGATTGACGACGACCTGATGGCTGCGCGGTGGAGACAGGACGGTGAGCGATCCGATGGCGGAACGCGGTCAACGCGAGGGTGCGCTGGCGGCATCTATCTGGAGGCGGGAATCGACGGCGGCGCGATGGCGACCGGATGGAGAGCGGACGGCGATGGGATCGAGAAATCCGGATGGACAACGGACGGCGATGGAGAGAGGGGCGGCGCGCGGCGGGAGAGAGAGGGGCGGCTGGGGTCGGCGGCGACGTGAATCGCGGCGGGGGCGGCGTGATGTTGGAGATCGGTGGCGGGCTGGCGGCGCGTGGGAGGGAGAGAAGAGAGATTAGGGCTGGGGAGGCGTGGGCTGGGATGGGGGAGGGGGCGCGGTTGAGAGGTGCGAGGTGGAGAGGATCTGAGCGTTGGATTTTACACAGAGATGATCCGAACCGTTCCACAAGGAATGAAAAAAATAAGTGATGAGTGATGAGTGAAATCATTTGTTGAACTATAGCGTAGATATATAGGATTCGGTGAGACAGATATGCTCACCAGTCACCAATAGTTTTGATTAAAGCAAAAGAATTGAGCAAATTGCGTTCATGAATTACTCTGTTTTTGTTATGACCTTCCATAGCCATGAGAGCATAGAATTTGGATGATGTTGTGAAACGTTATCTTGTCATCATGTCTATTATATTATTTATATAACTTTTGGTATTAAGGGGTTGTTTGGTTTGCTCCCAAAGTTTGCCAGAGCTTGCCACACCTTATGTTAGACAAGTTTGATCAAGTTAGCCTATTGTTTGATTTATAGCCACACTTATGGCAAGATTCATTATTATCTATTAGAGTCCTACATGTCATCAACTCACCAAAGTGTGGCAAAATTCAATTTTGCTAGCTAAGGTGTGGCTCACTTTTTGTAAGCCACAACTTAGTCAAGTGTGACAAAAAGTATGGTGAATGATGACAAACTTAGGACAGCATCTAAACATCCCCTAACCCTTGTACTAGTTCCATAGTTCAACGATTATAGGGATAAAAAATCACTAGAAGCAGTTGCCAATCCATAATAAAAATTACTACTAAGGTTCGACATACTAATTATATAATTATTAGCTAATATAATAAAAACAGCTAGAATAGAATAATTTATACGAGTCCCGTAACACTGAGAAAGTACACTTAGACTTTGTTCGGGAGCCTCGGCACACAAAATAAAACAGCATTTTAGTGCGTGATTAATTAAGTTTTAGCTATTTTTTTAAAAAATTGATTAATATGATTTTTTTAAGCAACTTTCGTATAAAAACTTTCTGCAAAAAAAACGCACCATTTAACAGTTTGAAAAGCCTGCGCCCGAAAAATAAGAAAGAGGAGTTGGGAACTTGTACTGCCGCACGGAGCCTTAGATATGCACCGGCAACAAGTGATGTTGAGAAGGTTTCGCAGTGATAAATTATTTGAGAAAAGTTGTATGAGCGTAAAAGGCCTTCACCACTGGCATAGTTACGGCCATGGGCCATGGCTACTACCCAATGTACTTCCTCCGTTTTACAATGTAAATCATTCTAGCACTTCTCATATTCATATTAATGTTAATGAATCTAGATAGATATATATGTCTAGATTCATTAACATCAATATGAATGTGGTTAATAAATCTAGATAGATATATATGTCTAGATTCATTAACATCAATATAAATATGAGAAATGCTAGAATAACTTACATTGTGGAACGGAGGGAGTAGCTCTTACCATGGGCTATAAAGTTCAACAACAGCAGCAGCTGTGGCTAGCTCAGCCAAGCACCTCTTAACTTGATCACATAGTTTTCTCTTTCTTTTTCCTTTCAATTTTAAATCCTTAGATAGCATCCCCGTTAGCTTGTGGGGTTTGGGTGAGGAGCCATTTTATTTACCGAGAAGACATTCAATTAGCATATGATTTATTAAGTGTTAAGTATTATAAATTTGAAAAAATGAACATGTTTAAAATTTTAAAATAAACTTTATATATATATATATATATATATATATATATATATATATATATATATATATATATAAAATATTGTTTAGCAGTCTGAAAAATACCACAACCTAATAAGAACGGAGCTTTATTACATTTGACAAAAAGAAAAACGTGTAGCGTTAGATTTAAAAGCTTTTGTTTTGTAGAAGTGAAATAATGAGGAGATGGTGGACTAGACTGGAAAAAAAGCAAGCAATCCCATCTCGTATAGTCCTACACTTCCTATTCATCCCCAAACAAAGCGCCGCGCTAAAGCCGTAACGTAGAAAAAGGGGGGACAGAATGAGAGCGGCGGTAAGCGCACCCCCTCCCCACAGCTGCTACTCCCGCCGCGGCGCCACTCTACTGGACGCGCGCCATGTGCTCGACCATATGCCGCAGAGGCGCGAGCCGCCCCGGGCCGCTGGCCTCCGTGCCCCGCCGGCGGCCGCGGCCGCGTCCTCCCGGAGGACACCACCGCTGCGCGTGGCCGGGCGCGCCGCCGCCGCCGCCGCCTGTCCGGCCGCTTCAGGTACTAGAAGGGATGGAGCCTTTTTTCTTGGTTGTTCCCTCATAGCCACAAGACACGTCGTCCTCGATGGCTCTGGGGTGAACATTTGCGGCCTTTTGTCTGGATATCTGTGCCTGGGTGGGCGCTGCGTGGTTAGATGGGGCTTGAGTATCGGGAGATTGTGGTTTAGGACAAAGTCTTTTGGTGGTCACTAGGTGGGGAAGTGAACGCTTAATAATGGCATGAAAGTCTTGGGGGAGCTTGCAACTACAAAACAAAGTACGGAATGAAACCAAACGATTGCTCCATTGACCATTAGGATACATAGTACATTTTGGTTAACTGAATCTTGCAATTGGGGACAAGGACACTCCTAGCGTTGATTTTGGAGCGCATACAAGTTAATTGAGTATTGGTGCCAAATGCCAAAGGGATTTTGGGAGAAAAAGAAGGTATATGAAGGGATAAGGCCTAAGGGGAAATGTGAAGGCTTATAAGATTTCAATGCTCTCAATGAGTTGTAATTTCGTTTCTGAAATTCTTACTTGCCTTCAGAAAATTGTTCAAAAGTATCCTGCTAATTCATATAATGTGTATAGCTGTACTTATCAATTCTTCAGCTTTATCAGGGGTGTGACTTAAATTTAGCTTCACCTCATCATCAGGACTGCACTTGAATAGATTGTTTCAGTAGTATACAATTATACGTGAGGCTTGGATTCATGTTAAATACTGACTGAAGTATGCTCTGCCTATATAATTTGATAACACATAGATAAAAGAGGCAGGAGACAAATATCCCTTGATCGAACTGTAAATGGAATCTTTGTTGTCCGGCATAAGAGGTTAGAGCTATTTGCAAGTTGTCGTTTTTCATCTTCCTGGAGTTTGCTTCATTGTAGTATATACTCCATTGCTTGAGAATCCGGGATCTCTTAGCCCAGACTTTTACTTGCCCCAAGCAAGCCTGCTTCCTAAAATCAAGCAAGGAATAAACCCTTGCTAGTTGCTTGCATTATTCTTGCAAAAAGCCAAGCATGTTCATCATATAAAAATAAGTATAGCTTTTCATGTATGCCACATTCAGAGGTTAACCATTCTTGTTGAGCACTTCCTGCATGCTTTCTCAGCTATGCTATATTTATCCAGACTGCACCGTCATTTAGCATGATGTCTAACCATTGCTCAGTTCCTTATTTGTTCAGGATACTCCTGCCAATTCCAACAGCCTTTCGCTCAACAACTCGTGTGCGGTTGACCTCACCTGCATTCTTGCCATCAAGACGAAATTTTGAAGGCTATATTCCTCAGAGCTGCTCAGGTTCATCATTGCAGATCTATAGCCGGTCATCCCTGCTATCTCTCTCACCATCTTCAGCTCTCATGGTGTCCTCCCAGCTGAACTCTTCGGATGTTGCTCAGCGATCAGAGGAATGGTTTGCTCTCCGCAAGGACAAGCTCACCACAAGCACCTTCAGCACTGCCTTGGGCTTCTGGGCTGGCAACAGACGGTCAGAGCTGTGGAGTGAGAAAGTATTTGGATCAACAGAAATCAAGTTGGAGGATGCGGCGAGGTCTGCTATGAACTGGGGCACGGTGAATGAAAGTGTGGCCATAGAGCAGTACACAAGCATCACCGGACGGTCAGTGGGTTCCCTTGGCTTCGCAGTGCACACAGAGGCCAACTTTGGGTGGCTCGGAGCTTCACCTGATGGCGTTCTAGGGTGTGACCCAGATGGTGGGATCCTAGAAGTCAAGTGCCCGTACAACAAGGGTAAGCCTGAGCTCGCTCTGCCATGGCGTGCTATGCCATACTACTACATGCCACAGGTGCAGGGCCTGATGGAGATAATGGGCAGAGATTGGGTCGAGCTCTACTGTTGGACTCCCAACGGAAGCAGCCTGTTCCGAGTGCCCCGAGATCGCGGGTACTGGGAGCTCATCCATGAAGTCCTGCGTGATTTCTGGTGGGGGAATGTGATGCCGGCCCGGGAGCTGGTGCTGCTGGGGAAGGAGGCCGAAGCTAGATCCTTTGAACCACAGCCCAAGCACCGGTCGACAAACCTGGTGATTTTTAGAAGCAGGAAGCTAGCTTCTGAAGCCAAGTTGTTGTGCAAGGATATTGGCGGTCATGTAGAATTCTTCCCATGAGTAGCTCTGCCAATGGCTGCACACTGTATTCAGATTATTTATTCTTTCAATCAAAAACATTGAATTGAATGACTAGTTCTCAAACCGTTGGTGTTTTTACTGTGGTTTTAGAGCGTTATAAAATGTTCCGTGATACGTCTTGTCATAGTTCCACATGTTTTTTCGGATTTTCATACTTGAAACAGGTGGCAATGAATCAAGCAGACTTGCAGATTAGCCAAACAGGCACAAATGTAATTTGCCTTTTTTTCCCTATGTGCCATAGCCTAACTCAACATGACGATCTCAAACTGAACTTTGGTTTTTCTTTCCTTTTCATTTGCCAAATGTAATTGTTGAGTTGGCCTTCTCTTTTTCTTTCCATTGTACGCCAAGCAGCAGCAATTCAATCCGACAGGTGTTGCTTGCTTCCAGGATATTCCTATCCTATCCCGGGAGACAAAAAAAAAACGGGTTGCAACTCGACATGCCGGTTGCTTCTCAGCTCTCACGACCCCTTTGTTCTTACCTTGCATGTGGGACAAGCAAGCAAGCCTGACCATGATAGATACACAACTCAAGGAGCAGGCAACAAGGCAAAGGTCTGGGGCTAACCTGGTCAAGACCATTTGGTATCTGACCTATTCATATCAGGGGCCTAATTGACCGGTAACCCGCGTTCTCAGCACTGCTAATTGCAGCCAGTTTTCTGATTGTAGTGCTGTGAGGTAACGGCCGATCTGATGATGGGTGGTGTGACCGGGCAAACCATTGTGGTGTCATGCAATGGTTTTCCGAGTTCTTGTAACACAAAAAAAGAAAAAAAAAAAAAGAGAAGAGACTTGGATGATTTAGCACAAGTGTAGGGTCCCTATATTTAGAGTACTGGACAACGAGACTCCTTTTTTCTCCATGCTTGACAGAGTACAAAAGATATGTTCCCATTGCCATGGCGGTCTCCATGACCAAATTTCGTGGCACTCAGCCCACATGTCGAAACAAATACCTTCAAGATATAAGAAAAAAAAGGAGCACGCACAGCAAATCGCAGAGAAAAAGAAGGAAAACCCAACGAGGGGAACAAACGTTACATAAGTACATAACCTTTTGCATACCATCCTGACCAAGCGATCATGTTACCACTTACCAACGAGGACGGCCATTCACCATAGTTTGACAAAAAGAAATGATGGGATAACAAACCAAGCCATAGTAACTTAACGTCCTAACAAGCGATCATGTTACCACCGAGGACGGCTATTCACCATACTTGGCAAATTGACATGATAGCAAGCGCAAGTTTGGTTAGAAGTCATTTATTTCTCTGCAAGTAGTTGTAAATTACATGGTAGTGTGACAAATGTTCTCAGAACTACAACAACATTGTGGCACGCATGTACAAGGTAAATTACAGCAGTCCTCTCTTTATTTGCTCTGGTGAGACCGTGAAAGGAGTAGAGCAGTTCATCTTCGATCTTAACATTCCAAGAACAGCAGCAGCTGCTGCAATACTGACGTAAAGTTCACGCTGTACTTCCGCTCTTGAACCGCAATCCCTGGAAGCAACCCCAAACCAAAGATAGGAAATGAGCTCTCACATAAGACTTAATTCAATGGGATGTATAACATCAAAGCAATCAGGAAAAACTCACCTCTGAAATGTCACCAGTCAGACAATAGTAGCGAAACAATCTTTTTTTTCCTTTTTTTGCTGAATCAAACTAACTACTATTTTTTGTTCTTTTTCTTGCAAGAAGCTAATGTAGCATGTCAGGATGGCTGCGCCTTCAAGAATAACAAACTCTTCGTTTTTTTTTTGTCTGTTTTCTCAGTAGAAATGATATGTTAAGATGGCTTGCATGACAGCATTGCATGCTGTTCTCTGTTAGCGGAGGAAGAGTATTCATTGGGGGACAAACCCCTATTTCATTGGGGGAGACAGATCCTTCTTCTCTTGACAATTAGGGCAAACCCAGTCCAGAGAAAATGACTCCTTGAATGCCAACTTGTCTACACACCTTCCACACTCATAACATCTCAGTATGCAAACAGTACAACCTTTGCAATTACCAGATCTTCTGTCATCACATCCTTCATCTGGGCAATCATAAACAAGTTTGTAGTTCTGACAAATAGGGCACATCTCAATATCAAGAGCATATCCATCATTGCAATCTGATAAAAACCGATTAGCATGAAGGAATCTTGGCCCCCGGTTATGCACCTCCTGTGTCTTGTCGGTATTCAACAAGGATAATAACTCTTCGTACTGCTCCTTTCGTAAACTGAAGAGTGTTCCAACTCTGAGGTGCTTAATTCCAAACACCGCCTTCGTATTAAATGACTTGAGATTGGAAATAAGGCCATCCAAAGTTAACCGTGGGCAGCCCAAAATGCTCAGCTGTGTGAAATATTTTGTGTTAGATAAAAATTAATCAAGAGGAATTTCTATTAAGTTAGAAGGCAGAATAGACAAATATGTATTTACAATTAGAATGTCAAACTGACAAACATGTAAATATAAATATCAAAAGTGTTCACAAAACTGATGGCAGAAGGTTTCTTTTGTGATGCTCCTACTATGAAAAAAAAAACAATATAACAACTTAAACAAATCGCAGTGCTGAACTTAGCTAGGTGCTCTTCAGCAACTTTGCACCATCATGTTGCATGTCATATAAAACAAAGAATCGCATGCAAATTGCGGTCAGCTACAAAGTATTAATGCAAATATCTGTAACCACTATTCAGATTCGCTTTTATGTATTACTCAAAAAACATCTAATCAACAGCACTTGCAAACCATGCATAATTGTCTCATCTAATTAGTTTCACTTTGAGAATATTATCTAGCAGGCATACAGATAAGTGAATAATATTAGCTAAAACAAAAGAAAGAGCATAGACAGGGCGGTCACTAGAGAAACAATGGATAACCTAAACAGTAGTCATGCACCAAAAAGGTATATAAGATAGCAAAATAGCCTACACTACATGCAAAACTACAATGCAGATTTCCTTTCCCATTACAGTAACAAACTAAGAGTCCTATGGTAAACATTTACATTGGATTGATGGGAGTATGTTAAGATCAAACGTATATTGGTATGACAATGAACATTTCCAAGCAAACTTGTTGATACAGTATAAGTGCAATACTTGAAGAAGTTTGATTAAGTTATACTAACCTTTGTTAATCTTGGATTACTTTCTAAAACAGCCTTCAGCCCCTGGTCTGTGATATTTACGCAGCACGCAATACTTAGACACTGCAAAGTATCTGGGCACTTCTGTGTCAGGTGTAGAAGACCAGCATCAGAAATTCTCTGGCGCAAATCCCCTTCAATGTGGATGGACTTCCACAGTAAGGGCTCATTTCTGACAGCCGAATGCAATGTCTTACACACTCTCTCAACAGAGAGGATGTCACGAAGGCCAAGGTAGTCAAGGGCAAACAGCATTCCCTCATGTGGAACTCCTCCCTCCTGGACAGGAACAACTTCAACTGCATCGCCGCACTCCAATGCAGCATTTCCAGAGGTAGGAGGGGTCTCCACGAACCCAAAAGAATCATCAGCATTTCCTGAGGAAGAAGGGTTCTTCATGAACCCAAAAGAATCACCTTCACCAGCAGAAAGGCCTCCAAACCCCAAGGGGCCTTCAAAAACACCCCGATAGCCACCAAACTGAAACTCCGGTGATAGAACAAAAGCCTTATTCAAGTAATAACTCAGGTCGGCAAAAACAGCATCATCGCGGCTGTCTCCAAAACGCCCAGCACTGGACATGACTGTGAGGTCCTCAATGCAACTGGCGATCGCCGCGGTGAACGTGGTCTCCAGGTTCATGCCGAAGGGGTCGGTAGGCAAGAGGTCCACAGGGTCGAACTCCTCTTCCTCTTCCAGCTCCAGCTCAAACTCCAGCTCATCCCACCACAGGGAGTTCACCCCACCGGATGACAGCGGCGAGGCCTCCTCCGACCAGCACCCGCACCCACACATCATGCCAGCGCAGTCCTCGTTCATCAGGAACGAGCTGGTGAGCGAGCACGACGAGTAATTCAGCGCCATAGCCTCCAAACTCTCCTCCACTCTCCCCCTCTCTCTTTTTTTTCCTCTTTCTATTTTTTTTGGGATTTTTTTCAACTAATTTTCTGCACACAGAAACGATACAGAACAAGCAACCCTAGATCTCCCCAAGAGAACCCTCCATTCCTGATCCGGGCCGATAAAAAAAATTCCCCTAGGACCAAAAACTTCACCGAGCAATCTCGATCATGGATCCCAATCCAATCCAATAGCAGAGAAAACCAGGGCCCCTCGATACACCACCACCACCACCTCAATCTCCCTCCCAAATCGAAACCCCCAACTCCCCCCAATCAACAAAACCAATCCACGGCCCCGGCGCGGCGAATCACGCCTCCAGATCACCGAGCAACACAAAGCTCCACCCCCCACCGAAACCAAGCGGCGGCGGCGGCGAGGAACCAAGGATCGATCCCCGGACCAGAGGCACCTCGAGACGGGAAGGGGAGTCGTTGGCGGGTAGGCGGGGATCGATGGATACACACCTTCGAATGCGGCTGCGGCGGTGGGAGGATGGGGTACTGGGAGGTGAGGCGGAGGAGGAGGGGGAAACCCTAGGATGTGGGTAATAGGTGGAGGCGGAGGATGGGGGGAAGAGGAGGAGGAGGAGGAGGATGGTGGTGGCGTGGGGGTTCCGCGGAAATCTCGAAGCCTCCTTTGCTTCCCCTTGGCTTCCGCGCCGCGCGAGGGGAGGAGAGGTGAAGAAGAGGAGAGGAGGAGGAGGAGAGAGAGTGCGTGTGCGTGGCCTGCCTGCTCGTTGCGCTGGGTGGGGGCGGCTGGGCTGGCTTGGCTAAGGTAAAGGCGAGATCGCTCGCCTCGCGTCGCCTCTCCTTTTCGCTTGCGTTTTCGTTGGGGGGTTTGGTTTTTTTTTCTCTTCTCCGAGCGAGAGTACAGGGGCTTTCCGGCAAATACACGCCTACCTGCCTACCGGACTGCCTCGCCTCCCTCCATGCAAAACCTCCTTTGAACGGCCGTGCGGAATTGGCGGCCCCTTGGAACGGTTGGGGCACAAAGAATTAGTTTTACCGCTTGACTTGGTAAACATATATCGGATTTGACATATGCTTCGTGAATAATTGCATATAATATGAAACTAGTGGAGGATAGTAACCATGTACGATGGGAAAGTTTATAACTGACGAAAAAAATATAGTAGTATTCATGAGGAATGATAATATGTTGTGATGTTTTAGATTTGTGATAGTTTATGACGGTTACATAAGTTAAGATAAGAATACGACTTATAACTATTACGTAAGTGAAGAGAACTAGCGAGATAAAACTTATGTTTAGGCTATTACTTATGTAGTTTTAAGGTGATTGAAAGTATGAAAACAACTCCTGAAAATTAAAGAAAAAAGAAATATACTCCCTCCCCTCCGGTTCTAGTTTAATTGATGTTTTAGACAGTATTGCAAATACCAATGAGTAATTAATTAGGATCTACATTTTCAATTATACCCATATTAAATACATTCGAGGATGAAAATGAAGCAGCAGATGCATGCATCTTTACTCCTGGAGTACCAGCTGTTGGTCACAGATGGAAACCAAGCAACAAATGTTTGCCTCGGGAGTGTATTGTGTTTGCATGCATGCAAGGATAGTGCTGGGAAACTGAGCCTTGAGCTAAAACGTCGATTTTTCCCATACAAAAGCTATTAAGCTATAATGTCAGTTAAAAAAGAACTGGAGGGTGTACTATTCTTATCTCCACATAATATGTTATCTATAGACTTAATTACATTTCCATATAGGCCAAAATTTGGCGTGGCTATAACACCTAAGTTAACGGGAAGAAAGAAAATCTAAATAAAGGGGGTTATATTCCAGACCTATAATTGGCGACGGCTCCAAAATAGTTGGGCCCAACAAAACCGCACGCACTAAGATATGAGGCTTGTTTGGCTACAAGGTATGGTGTTGCCTTGCAGCTCGCCTGACGTCTACGGCAGCTTCATTTGCTGCATGGTGTAACAGTCGACTGGCTGCATGGCAGCGCTACACCAGGCAGCCGACCGAGACAATGTAAGTAGTTTTATTTTGGCGCGACTATTGGCCTAAAAACAAATATGGGTATCTATTATATTTCTCTATGTATATAAAATTCAACTTTTACAAACTACTCTATGCGTCTCAATATAAATGTATCTAGGATGATCTCCGTGGCACATTAAAACACTATAGCTACTTATAGCATGTATTGTGAAGGTTTAATGCATTATTTCTCTTCTATACGCAACTCCAGCTTTCAACAATAATCATGCGGGGATTGCTCTTACGCTGAGTTTGTGGGTGAGCGCACAATACGAAGTGATGGTTAGTGCATGATTAATTAAATATTAGCTTCTTTAAGAAAATAATTAGTATAAGCAACTTTTTTATATTTTTTTTATAAAAAACATATAGTTTAATAGTTTGAAAAGCGTATGCGTGAAAAATAAGAGAGATGGGTTGGCAAAGCAAGGAAACTAACTCAGCCTAAGCGTTTCTCATATTACAAAGGAGCATTTCCTCAGAAACCAGGGGGTTTATTACAAAAACACGAAGCAGTTTGCACCCCACGGAAGCCCAAGGACACGAAAGGATCCATCCATCCACTGACGAGGCGGGGCCTCGGCTGATGTAACCTTCCCACCTCTCTCTCTCTCTCTCTCTCTCTCTCTCTCTCCATCCCTCTCACGCGTGCAAGCACACAGCAGCACATATCCAAGCCGTGGATCACGCAATAGCAGCAAAGCCAAGCCTCCGGCCGCAACAAGCAGGAGCAGGCAGGGCATTGATTCGCGACGGGTGGATAGATTAGAGCAAGTATAATAGTGAGTTATAACAAAAAAAATCAAGAATGTTGGCTATCATGTAAGAGCTAGCTTAATACAAGTTTCTAGGCAAATACATTAAATGCATAGGTGAGAGATAGAGGGAGGAGAAGATAGTTGTAGCCAACTTTATAACTAATCCATTATATATGTTAGCTTTAAGATGGGCTAATAGTAGTAAGCGAGCTCTCCTGTTATCTTGCTCTAAATGGATCAGCGGATGGCAGGACGAGAGGTTGTTGGCCGCTCCGCCGCTGGCCATCTATACGCGTGTCCCGCCCTCCCCGCGGCCCCGCCCACGCACGTGGCGCCCGCCATGACCGCATCAGCCGCAGCCGCCACCGTGGCGTGCGGGTGTGGGGGGCGTCGCGCCGAGATGGGCCACGCGTCGTCATGCGGTCATGCGCGCGGGCGAGCCACGGGCTCACGGCCCACGTGGTGGGACGCGTCGATCTACGGCTGTACCTGTGCGCACGCACGCACGTCTTGCGTTGGACCGACGGGACCCCAGGATAAGCTGGATATGGCTGAATGGCTCAGCTGATCCCTTCCCGTCATTTTTTCTTGCTCCGGTGAAAATTCGGCTTTGGTTTAACGGTATACATCAGCTCATCAAGGCGGAGCTACGGATCATCAGGTCGTGGAAAACGTGGTGCTTTTATGATATTTTTGTTGAGTAGCATAAGCCCCAAGATTTGTATACTACTTCTCTGTTTGCAGGCTACGTGCAGCGGTGGATAACTGGATATACGATACACATCATGTGATGCAAGCATCTCCCGGGCCTATTCTTCCCCTTGCTCGGTGCGCGCGCCTAGTGGCGGCAACCGGAGAGGAGAGAAGAGAACCCTTCCTACGGTGGATTTCCTTCGTGCCAAAAGTACGCTTCGGCGAGCAACTTTTCGGCGCCTCTCACCATCCGGGTGGTAAGCGCTGACGCAACGCGCGCGTTCGGGCTGCTTGGCCGGCACGAAAGCTTTCGCTCGCTGGCACGCAGGAGGAGCGGCCAGGTCGCGTCGCCGAGGCGAGCAGCTGACGGGTGCCGTTTTGGCGGGTACTCCACCGTCTCCGCGTCGAGTGTCAACCAGAGGGAGGAACAGATCAAAAGAAAGTCGTTTCTTTAACTCCGATGCTGAACCAGCTGCTGCGCGCAGCAGCTATTTTTGGTGCGGGCAAAGGCATATGTGCTGTGTGGCCGAAGCTTCCAGCACAACCGGTTATGTGTAACTCTCCGTAGTAGTAGATCAGAACAGAACGACGTTTCGTGATCATTTACACACGTTTGGTTTATTTACCAACTTTTTTTGTATTTTGTTTCCTCGACCGGGTCGATCGAATTGCCGTGTATTTCTCAGTTCTTGATGATCATATATCAATATGTGTATGCCATTCCACTATGAGTTGGTTAAGAGTGCTTATGTTTGTTTAGCTTTTTAACGATATGTGAAACAATATGAGTCATTATTGTTGATTATTTAAGTCTTAAATATTCCAAACTGAAAAATGTATTTGTTTGTTTCTATATGAAACAATTTATATGAAAAGTATTTGAAAACAAGTCCTTCCGTCCCAAAATATAGTAACTTAGAAAATGTTGCATACGCCACTAAGTTTTTTATATTTTGAGACGGAGGTAATAGTAATTTGGAAAATGCACAAATGATAAATGGGGGAGTAGTTATTTCGAGAAACATTTTAGCGCTCAACCTAAGTAGTTCTTGATGAAAATTAAAAGAAAGTTTAGTTGTGCAGTTGTAATATACGACAACTAATATTCAGCTCTCAAACTTGTAAAATTAATTCAAAATGATATCATTTTTTATTATTTGTTTGAAAACAACATTTGTAAGGTTGGGAATTTTTTATATTTTGCATTTAACTATTTAGTGACAACTTTAATACGATACAACATAAATTAGAAAAACTAAGTTTGACCGTAAGAAACAATACAACTTTTTTAAATGGTATCGGTACGATCGAAAATTCCAGTTGTCATCCTCAAACGGACGGAAACTATACATGTACCACCATTGTTCTTTCTCGAACGTACAAGCCACCCCACGTTGGGCCAACTTCACAGCCACGGTCTCAGGCCCAACAAGCTGACAAGGTAGCTAAACACGGAAACCAATAAGTTAACTTTACATCACTTAATTTGTCTGCGAGTCTAATATTCACACAATTTTTGACAATTTGATCATTTGAAAAATCTAATTTTATAAATAAACTGTCGTCAAAACTTATTTCAAAAATGATCATTCTGTTTAGCGCCAAATCGTGTGACGCTGAATTTAGACACCTCAGCGCTACACAACACGGCGCTGAATGTCCGTTGGCGCGCTGACTCAGCCTTCTATTCACGGTGGCACGGCATTCAGCGTCAGTTGACGTTGCGCTGGAATGTCTAAATTCAGCGCCACACGATTTGGTGCTGAACAGAAGGGTTTTGAAATAAGTTTTGGCGACGGTTCATTTGTAAAATAGTTTTTTCAAATGATCAAATTGTCAAAAATTATGGTAATATTCATCTCTGAACCCAACTACCAAATATAGCCAATCCCCCGACTCATTCCTGAGTAGAAAACTGGTTGGTTTTGGCTGACGTAAACCCATTCTAGTTGTGAGACAACTTCAAGAGATCTAAAGTGAACTTATTCCTTTTCGATTCAGTGACGACTTCCAAGTAACAAAAGTGAACTTATTTCTTTTCAGCTAGGGACAACTTTCAGGCTCATACCATATGCCATTGGATCTTCATATGGTGATTTATTTTCTCTTTTTCGGAACACTTCGTATAACTTGCTACGTCGCTGGCGTCACGGTTACTCCCTCCGTCCCAAAAAGAAGGTAAACTATGGTTTCTGTGTCCAACTTTAACTGTCCGTCTTATATAAATTTTTTTTATAATTTATATTTTTATTATTGTTAGATGATAAAACATGATTAATATTTTATGCGTGACTTGTATTTTTTTATATAATTTTTTCAAATAAAACGAACGGAGTTTTATTTTTTTTTTTGCACGGAGGGAGTACTTCGCAAGAGCATAGAGATGAAACGGAGTGAGA